TATAGGTTTTCGAGTCAATTCCGGACGTTTTCATTCTCTTCCCTTTTTCTCTCTTTCTCTCTCACGTGTCGAATTCGACGTTCGTTATTTTCCGCTAGAAAAGACTTGCACACAGCGGCGGTGGCGACGGCGGCGGCTCTGAGCTCCCACTAGCTAAGTTGCCTCCATCTCATGGAAAAAACAATAGATCCACACTTTTCGATATGGACGCGGAGCTCGCGCGCGCGTGCGACCTCCCTCAGCGAAAAATCTCGTTTCTCACGAGCGATCCTCTCTCTTTCTCTTTCTCTTTCTCGCGAACTCCGACGACGAACTTTTGTGCAGATCGTTGAAATTTCTCATCTAGAAATCTGTCTATATATAAGTAATACATGGACTTTTTATCTTTTGCAATATCTGCACACAAGCGCCTCAGAGCCACGTCACATTGGCAGGAAATCACTTTCGTTGACCGGTCCTTGTCACATAAGGGTATTATATATAGCGTGCTACTGAGCTCTTGCCATATCTCTCGCTTCTTCAATCACGATCGATCCATATCTAACTTTTATCTTTCACGCCTTTTTCCAACAAATCAATGTGTGTAGTATAAAGAGAGAGAGAGAGAGAGAAACGAATGAGACTCTTGAATGGAAAAAGAGAAATAATATAAAAGGGAGAAAAATCTTTTGAAACTCTCGCACAATACGTGCATCGTCGCTCTCTCACTCGCTCTTCATTCTATACCGGTAAAAAAGGTAGTAAGTACGAACATTGAAAGGCTTCTCTGCAAAGCTGAATTATTAGAGAAAAAGAGAGGGTGAGAGCCAATAATCGAAAAATCCTTCTTTCACTCATATATGCCACATACGGGCGCGAGAACTCCGGTACAAATGGCGATCTTCTCTCTCGCTCGGAAAGAGAGCTTTCACGCAGTTGACCATGCCCCGGCGCTTTTCCATCATCATTTCCCGAGCGCGCAGCAAGGCTAAAGACGACGTAATAAACTTTTCGCTTTTCCATCGCGTGCCACACATAGCGCGCACGCATGGCGAGCAATTTTTTTTTTCTTCTCCTTTTTCTTCTTCTCTCCCTGCAGAATATAACAGATGTTGCGTTAAATGGACTCTTTCGAGTAGTATATGCCGTGGTGACTCAGGGTGCTCAGCTGCAGCGCTCGCTACTCGTGTGTATACGCGTATACGTACGTGCCTGCTAAATATTAAAAACGAAAGGGTCGAAAGAGAATTATACGAGCGCGCGCGTATAGCATGCCGTGTGCAGTTTTACTGTGTGTGGGCGAAACCCAACAAGTGAATAAAAAAACACACACACACATGCTTGAAAATATATCGTTTGGATGTAATTAGTTCATTGATCACACGCGTGGTAATAATAATCCGCGATTGCGTGTCAAATTCAACGTAGCTCGCATTTTCATTATAACGTATAGCCGCACACGCCAAAATCCAATGAAGTTGAGGTTAAACCTATGTACGAAGCGAAAGGAAGGAAATAAAAAAGGGAAAAAATGAGAGGTAAAAAAAGTATAGCACTAGGCGAGTAAATTATATTTGCGTGACATAGACACACGCGGCAGCGCATCCCTTTTTTTTACCTTCGAGAAGCGCGCCGATTTCACGGAGTACTTGCTTTGGTGGTTGTTTGCCGATGCTTACCTACGGATGGACGGTTTTCCCTTTCGCTCGAAAAGACACAATGCTCCCGAGCTTAATGTAATATTTTTATTTTCTTTTGAAAAAGTAACTCTTGCCGTTTACTCCCTCTAAAATGCTGATTTTTTGTCTGACTGGACTGACATGATTCGACTGTTTCAATTAATGATATAAAACTGACTACAATTTTTTTTTCTATTTAAACAGAAGCTTTAGAAATGAAGCTTGCAAGCAGTATCAGTTTGTTTCCATTTTTAAATAAATTCCATATTGATTATGGAATTATCTACATAATCGATCAGTACAGATTGTGCTTTATTGAACCTCGGTTGTCGAGTCGAAAAAAAAGTAAGAAGAAGAAAAAGTAACGACTGTAGAAAGTTAATGAGATTTTCTTGGTTTTGAAGATAGACGTTCTCCCGCGCGTTGCCCGCCCTCCCCCGCACGCCGCTTCGCTCCGATTTCGCCGTCTTGTTACAATAGTTCCGCCGCGCCAACACAGTGTGCAATTGGAAAAAGAAATTCCCACACTTGTCTGTGAGTGACATCAGCACACACAGAAAAGAAACGAAACGAGCTGAACTATATCCAATTAGGACCATCTGTACAACCTCGATGCCGCACCGAGCCCTGTATATACGTATGTATGTATATATCGTGTGGTCGAGGAATGACGAAAACTTGGGCTCCACAGATAATAAGTTCGCTTGCGAGAGCGTCGAGCAGAGTGTTTATTTAATTATCGCGCGCGTGCACATTCGATTGGCGAAAACGTATTTTCGACTCGGCCGGATTGACATTGATTTCAGAATTTAAATATAATGATTCGGTGAGGCGGAAAATGTACGCTATTTATTCCTCGTGCGCGCAGGAAATTTATAAGTAATTTCATTTGTTCCACACCAAGCTGTCAATGAATATTATAAAGCTCGATTTGGAGGAAGGAAAAATTCTCCCGAAATAATGTATTCGCTCTATCATGTACGTTGATGACAAAAAAAGTATAACAAAGCTGCTGCTAGCGCATCACACAGTCTCGTGGCTTGACGAATCGAATCTGTATAACAGTAACCGACTGTGTTCACATCATTGCGTACAAGAGAGTGAAAAAGATCGAGAAAAATGTGACAAAGCCCATGCATTTTTTTCTCAGCGCTTGGGAGAGACTGACAGCATTTTTGTCTATATGCGCATTATTATATTTTTTTACGACGCACACACACCTACGTTATAAATTGGCGCCCGAACACTCGGACTTTTTATATTTATTATGGTTGCGTATATGTGTACGAGTGCGCGCGCGTATAATAGAGTTGAAAGTGCAGCAACTGGCATTTGAATCTCATTTTACGTCGCGCACCGCGTCGCCGCATGACAACTGTGACACTTTCTCGCCTCGTGTGCAATAGGTATATACGTCGCGCATGTGCCAATGGCCACGGGAACAACTCTTTGAGCCACCCATTCGTCGCTGTATATGTTGCACGCGTATAATGCCACATATATATATATACCTATTCACGGCTCCGTGTACGGCATTTTTTATACTTGCTTTTTAGTTTTAAGGGGTCAGTATGCATATAGCCACTTATACAAAGAACCGCACGTAGGAGAGAGAAAAAGAAAGGCAAGGGGGCAATTAAAAAGCAACCGCGAAAAATTCACAACTGAATTTCTGTCGACTCGGTAATGCACACACACGGCAAACATTATATACGTATATACAAATGACGTAGGTATATTATAGTTATACGTATATAGTTAGGGCACGAGCAGACAGGCATGCAGCAGCAGTAGCATAGGACACAGGCGATACAGTGGAACTCGAGAGTCCTCTCCACGCGTCTGTGTCTGTGTGTATGTATGTATGCGGTTGTGCACGAAGGGGACGAGAACCCGGTACTGCTCCTATATGTATATCGTATATAACGTCGAGCGCGCGTGGCGTGGCGTGGCGGCGAGCTCTCGACGCGTTGACAAAGTGACAATCACTACGCCTGCACAGAGAGAGAGAGAGAGAAAGAGAGCTGCAGAGCTGCACAGAGATTCACTCGCGAAATAAAGAGCTCGGCGAAAGTCACGCGCGACTCTCGTGTTACATTTTCATTCGGCTAATTGTATAGCGTACACACATGCTCTCTCTCTCTCTCTCTCTCTCTATGTAGTTTATACGTCGCACTAGTCTCTCCTCCCCCGTGCAATGCTCCGACGACGACGACTTCGTCTCTGATCGAGCCGAAATAAAAAAAAATGAAAGGGAGGCTTAAAGTGTACACTCTCGCGTGTACGTGCAGGACTAGCCGTCGTTGCTCCGTTAATAAGAGTGTCCACCGTTACTTGTCGGTTTAGTTATTGTCTTGCCCGCGCGCCTACAAGAAAAGGGAGATGAAAAAATTACTGGGAGGATCCCGCGAGTGAGTCAATTGTGCAGGCGCTCGTTGCTGTCGGAAGGGAGCCGAAAAAGCGATTTTTGTACCGCACATTGTTAAGCGCCATCGCATCGTACTTACATACCAAACCTATATAAAGAGGGAGTCGCGCTCAGCTTACGACTCGACAGTCGACACTTGTGATACACGAAAAAGATAATAGCTGCCACGCACCGCCTCGAGGGCAACAACTGCGCGAAGAGCCGATGATGATGCTTACTTCTCAGCTTCTTCCTTCTTTCTTTTTGGCTTTGCTCTAGCTCGTATACCCACGGTGTACGTGTATTACGAGAAGTTTAGCGTGCGCGCGGCGCGTGCTTGTGCGTAAAATGCCTCGATGCCCTGTATACGAGCGAAAGCTGCGTCGTCGACGAGCTCCCGTTTTATACTGCACACACACATATACAGCGATGACAGCGATTTCATCGAGTACTACAGCGAAGAAACGTTTTGGATAAATGACTTCGGGGTATTTCGCTAGCAAGCGAAGGGTAGCTAGAAGAGTAGTATATATAGAAGGTACGAGCTTCGCGCCACCGAGGCACGTGCCGATGCTGTACTGCACTGGCGGCGCGGCGCGTCATGCACCTCGGCAGCTCGAGGAGTTTGTTGCGGCGCTTGTTAAAATTTCGAACGGTTATCGACGAGTATATATAGAGGTATCGAGGAGCTGGAGCAGCGCCTGTTCCTGCTGCTGCCTCTCCGGAAAATAGTTACACGATTATATATGACACTTCGGTCCTTTGTAATGAATTAATCGAGCGTCGGTGCACGTCCATGGTGTTACGAAGACGTAATAATCAACGTTGGGAGAACATTTTTCGTGTACTTTCGGTTTTACATCATTAGGATTTTCGCTTGTTAATGAGATTCAGTGACGATGTAAGCTTGCAACAATCAAAAACAAGATTTGAAATTCATGGTTTATAGCAAAATTTTATTTTACTATATCTTTATAACGTATAAAAGCCTTATCACATTTTTAAAAATTAAATTATCATATAATATGTAGTTGAGTAAATTTTCGTTGTGCATCAAATGCTTTACTATATAAAACTAATCAAAATAATCGAAAGAAAAAGTAGTTCATAGCGAATCCAATCGGTGATTCATAATAGTGAAAAAAAATCACAGGAACACTCCATTGTGCAATATTTTATATTAGCAGTGATGAGCGAGCACATCGAGGCTCTGAGTGAACACGGTGTACTTATTATCGTCACCTAGTTCGTTGTACATTAATTTCGGCACGTTGCTCACCATAACGTATAATTTTCTGCTCGACAGATCCACGGCTATGTCATTCGGGAAAGCCATCGTTTCTGCATTCTGATAAATTAGACCTGTGAAAAGAAGAATAAAAATTAAATCGCACCAAATTCTGAATAAAAAGGACGCGTGTAATCGCTCGAGTCGTGCAGTGCAGTAATTGATAATCATAATATTTCATTGGCATTATTTGCATCGAATGCAACAAGAAGCCGACACGAGAAGAGGAGAGAGAGAGAGAGAAACACGCGTATAGCGTTTCCGTTTCACCGGTCAAGTATTGAAAATGCTCATCGTAGTATGCGTGTATGCGTGTATGCGTGTATGCGTCACACATACGCGCGATCATGTTTTGCATCGCAGACGCGCACAAACTGCACCGACAAACTCAATCATTGCCTCGTGTTCGCGCAATCCCTCAAGTTTGTTCGAGCGTGTACCTATATGTAGTACATATATTCGATTCTCGTACAGTGCGCAATAAACTATCTGCCGGAGCACATCTCTCTGAGCAAATACATCCGATAAACGAAAGTATACGCTGATATGAAGACGTCTACTACGCGAGTATGCGTGTACGTACCGTACGTACAATAATAAATAAGAATACGTGTGTAATACTCACTGAATGTCTCCGGACTGAGCGGCTTGTTGATGTTCCAGCAGGCGATGCCGTGACGGTTGATCTGGGCGAAATAAATGATGCCGTTCTTGAGATCCATGGCGGAGGACGTGCCCTGGGTGAGATCACCCTTGACACCCTCGAGCTTGAATAGATTGTAATTTTCCGCCGCGGCGAGGCTCTCGTTTTTCAGCACGTGAGTGGGCACGGAGAATTCGCGGATCGCCGAGAAGGCGTGGAAGTACAGGGTCTTGCTGCCGTCCTCGCGCTTGGGCGACACGGCCATGCCGAACAGGCCATCTGTCCAGTGGAAGTTTATGCCGCTGACGTTGTAGTCACCTGCGAAATATCACCAAAAGACTTCAGAACATGCCGTACGTTCATCGCCGTATATAACAGTGATGTGTTATGTCATTGCAGTATAGAAGAAGAAGAAGAAGAGAGAAGAGAATGAGAAAGAGAGAAGATTATTAATGATGCGGTCTGCTGGTATTTCTGCTGCCGCGAAAGTCTGTCACTGCAGCAGCAGCAGGCAATATATAGCAGTAGCAGCAGCAGCATGATAAGGTCAAATATAATGTAATTTCTCGTGCAAGTGGCCTCGTAATATACTGTATGTACACTTAAAAAGATGGAATTGATGATGGTGAACGCGTCGCGCTGCTGCTCTATTACGAGCTTATACCCGGCATGGTTACGACTTTTATGCGTGCGCTGCGCTTTTATATTTTATATGTATTTTATTATACGTTCGCGCTGATAAGATTTTGACTTAATGAAACTTTCGTAATTCATGCTGCGGTGTCATAATGACACCACGTTGTACCGCGACAAAACACTTTTCTCTGGGGGCAATAATTAATCAAGCTCTATATCTTACATACTGTAGCTTTGTTCTCGGGGACGTTAGAAGTTCATGAATATTCATGAACTAGGTTTGCTAAAAATCGGTAAACGATCGTTAACATTGAGCTTTGATTCGTTTAATTTTTGGCAAAAGTGGTACCTCTTTATTACGAATGAAGTAACACTACTTATATCCATGTGACGTTGTAAAGAACTCCTTGTACAAGATGGTTTTTTTGCGTCACGATACGAAACGGTATATTGAATAATAATAAAAATGAAAGCAGCGAGCGAATACGCCGAGCGAGCAACGATCGAACAAAAGTATAAAAATATTGTAATCCTCTTGGAGGTTTATGTTATATCCGCGCGTGCGCTATCTCGTCGAGTGCATCTCGAAAAATTAGAATATAAAAGCCGATCCGTACTTTGCGGCGCGGCGCAGCAGATATACTTACCGTTCAAGGGATCGAAGTGGAAGTAATTGTGATGGAAACGCCAGGAATTATTTTGCGCCAGGCTGTAAACAACGAGGCCGTAACCACCGAGATCAGATAAGTAAGCGTAGGCGTCATCGCAGGAATCCTTGTCCGCGTCGACGGCGAGGTCGGCGAAGAACGACTCGGCTTTCTGATCCGAATCTTTCAGCGTGTAGGTGAGCAGTATCTGCAAAAAGTTTCAAACGTGCCCTTTTCATGTCAAAACTTTCTTACTCTCTCTCTTTCTGTACGAGCTTTGCATGCTGTACACATAGACGTCTGTACATGCATAGAACGCGTCGTAATGCGTATTATGCGCGCGTGCGGTATATAGCACCATCATCGTTCATCATTTTTAACTGGCACCGTCTAACGCGTATACGATCAAACTTTTTATAGTCTCTACAGATTCATAACATAATCTCTAACTCGTGTATCAATCGTATCGGACGAATATAATGTGTTATTCATGCTGTTACAATCCTTTGTGGCTCGTCTTTTATTGCCCAAGCACAAGAATTATTCAATGCGCGAATCGTAAAATTCGTAATATTCAATCGTCGTTAATTAACGGAATCTTAAATTGTGAGCGAAAAACAAACGTCATTTACTTTGTCCGTGTTGAGATCGATGACAATGAGCCTCGGCGGTCTGACGACTTTGGTATCTCCCAGAATATCTTCGATGCCGGTGTCGACTCCCCAAAGGCGATCGCAGGCGTCGACTCGTATGCGGAAAATACTAACGATTGCGTCATTCTCGGTCGAGTGTAAATCGTTGGCTTCCCAACTTGGATAAGGCGTGAGCTGCGGCGATTTATCTACGGGCGTAATTGATACTTTTAATATTTTAATTTCCGCAAAATTTCAATTTTAAATCGAACACTATTATTCGTATGAATCCTACCAGTGGTTTTTGACATGTCGATGACGTTCAAATTGGAGGCTACTCCTTTTTTCCATCTGGCCACCGTGACAAACATTTTGTCCTTCCATGTAGCAACGCCGACCGGCAAGTTGTTGGCTGGGATGAAATCGCCGCGGCTCGTGTAGGCCTGTCTCATTGATTCATTCGGGAAGTTATAATCGATCTTGTCCCAGGAGTACTGTACTTCGGGCGGGTGACAGCTAACGGCTGCCACCAGGGCCAAAACGAGCATTATCCACCGCATATCTGCAAAATGACAAAAGATCATGATGGGCTCGTACTGCGCCTTTTTCTCTGATGAATGTAATTATTTTAATCTGATATAGTTTGTACGCACACGTGAGCTTGCTTATCGGCACCGATACATTATATAGAATTTTTTTTACATAAGTCACGTGAATGAAATATCATAATGACACCTGCGCATCGAGATTTATATTGTGTTAATTGTATAAAAAATAATTGCATCCGATCGTTTCGCAATGACAATCTTCTTTTCTTTTATTTTTTCTCTCTTTTTCAAAAAATATGAAACTTTTTTTTGCAGTGTGTGTGCATTGGTTTCATGCGTATGTGTACAACAAGATGTATTCATACGATTGCATAAATTTACTATTTATCATGTATCTTGTAAAACATTCGCGTGTTATTATTCACAACCAATTATTTATCATTGACTAGCTGTACCTATATGTGTCGAGTACGAATAAAAAGAGATGTGCGTGATTGTCGCGCGCGAGAGATTCTACACTCGCCATTACTTATGTATTGGTCCTAGAAGTAGGATCTTAGATATCCAATAATTTACAAGGCAGATCGAAGATATCTTTTGCGATTAGTCCTCGGTTTATTATGAATCGTTCCGTCAGACAGCTGACTTTTTTTTCTCCAATACCAATTAACGATCTCAATGAGCAGTTGGCTCTGCATTAAAACCGGCTTCGGCTGTCGATTCGCGCGTGCTCGTCGTTATGGTTGCTTCATCGGCTTTATCGACCGAACGATGAAACTTTTTTTTGTACTGGTGAAAATTATTAAGGACGAGACTGCTGTTTGTTTGTGTACTCGATAATGGAGTCATTATTATTAGGTTTCTGTACATTGGTGGATTTTCATGCGTATACACGAGGCTTTACGTGCTCACGGTGCGCTCGACCGATGCAAACGTGAAATCGGCACAGGCAGAGGCCGCTTAAAATTACATGTATTTTTCTCGTAAATACAGAATTTTTATTAAGAAATAACCTCCAATTAAATTGTTTACCGTGCACTGGTGAAATCAAATTCAAGCACAACGATTAAATTTTGTTTTTCAGAAAGATCGAATTATATATTGTATGAATTTACGTTTAACCTTGAGATACTTCGAAACAAAAAAAAAAGATCTGTAAATGCAAGGTTTATCGTTAAAACTTGTTCATGAGACTTGTTCATAAAAATCATATGGTACAATGTACACGTTAGTTAAACAAAAATTATCGCGCCTTAAATTTACAACAGCTGAGCAATGTTTACTGTAAACCTGTCGCTTCAAACCCATATTTCTACTACCGATGCGAGCCGGGCGTAAATCACACACTCGCAAAAGTAACCGAATCGTTTTACGATTATTGATTCTCTCTCGTGGGTGCGGATATTTTTTTTCGCGCCGAGATGCAAAAATTAACAGAGAAAAATAAATTTGCAGCAGGTGTGCACGCATCAAGTGCTGCGCGAGAATGTGCGTAAAATAATAATAATAATAATAATAATAATAATAAAAAGAAGAAGAATCCACAGGCAGAACTCACCGAATATGTGTGCGTATAAGTGGGTACTGTATGCGTGAAGTAGAAACAACGTTGTGTGTCTGAGTCTCCCGGCGAACGGTATAGCGCCGAATGAAGGCTACACTTGACTGGAGCTCGACTTTATATAGCGCCTACTGTGTCTCTTGTGCCGGCTACACGTGAAGTGCCGAAAGAGATGGAGAGACTTGTCGTATATGTTTCGCTCCTTTTTATACAGGTCGCACGCGTATACACGTACACGCGCGTGGAGCACAGATGTAAATATAATCCTCCGTATAGTTTATCATCTCTTTTTTCGCGAACGCGCGGGTATATCCAACTTGCGCAAATCTCTGCGCACGCGGTTGATGACGACTGCGACGATCGCGCGCACCGAATAAATGTGTTTAGCCGCACTTTCGATTTTATCACTCGGTTGCGGCGATCCTCTATCGCTCACCCGACAAATCGGATGGCAAAGGACCTGCAGTTCTCGTCTGCGGTAGCTGCGCTGCCTGCCGTACATTTGCCGAGGAAGAGAGAGAGAGAATTCACGAGCGAATAGTTCTATACGTTCACCAACCGTTTTGCATCCCACGAGCAATTGAATAATTCATGCTGGATGCTCTTTTGCTGAAGACTGCAACTACAAGTGTATTTGTTTCGCTGTTGCTGCTGCAGCTGCAGAGCTAGAGAGAGAAAGAGAGAGAGAGAGACAGGCAGACAGATAGACAGTACAGTAGGTCCCTGACTTTGTCAATGTATATAGCGAATGCGCGAGACTGTGCAAACCAATGCTGCAGTTGCGTGGATTTTCAATGCAACTCGCGAGTCGAGTTCCTCTGCCATTATGCGACAATGTGCGCTTCGATCGAGCTTTGAATTCTGATTTATTTCTATTTTATTAATTCCTCGCTACATTTTCTTTATAAAATAGAAGCAATTTTCTCCGAAGGTAATTGATTTTGAATAAATTCAACGCTACAGTGACTCGAAAGATGTTTTAATTGAAAATATTTTCATTTTAAGGGAATATAAAATCAAGTTCAAGTTTAATCATTGGAATGTTAATAATTCTCGAGAAGGCAAATTTTTTTCAATATAAAGTTTTTCTTATATCAAACTATATTAATTTTCTACTTTCTCTAATCATAATTAGTTATCTACTTTTATTACACTTTGATCGATGTGCATTTTTTGAGTTATCATCAATTCCAGAACAATCCGGAACCGATCTTTAATTGTTTCTACGAAAAAATAGTTTATTAACAGAGAGACAATATTTATCAAATAATGATTTTCGATAAAATATCTATTATTGTATAATTCAGCTCAAATTTTTAGAGCTCGATAATCTAAGTGAATTAGATCTGAAAAATATCTAAAAAAACTTATTTATATTTTTACTTTCACTTAAAATGACAATAATTAATTGAAGACAAGACGGTGTATTTGTATATTTATTTACAAAAAATGTGTTGAAAATATTTTTAATAATTAATTTCAACTCTTACTTCGAGATATCTTAATATCAAATTTTTAAATAAAAATACTGTTCTCAACTTACAGCGAGTGACATCTGGACGCATTTCAGTACATCTACAGAATACGAAGCAATTATCCAATGGAGAGAAATTACCTTCTGTCGGTATTATAATAATTATCATCGCTCAATATAAAATTTCTTCATTTTTCTCAAAAAAAAGCGAACACTATTTTAATATTTTATTCAACAATTTTCGAAAAAAAATTATGGATGAAAATGATTATGAACAATTTTTCTAAAATTAATATATTTATATAAATAAATAATTCATACAAAGTTGTTGTTGACTTACAGCTCTAACTATAACTCTTTTAATAACAACTTTCTTCAATAGTGAATCCTCTAACATTGAAAATATTTATCTGATATTATTAAAATACCTACAATGTGAAATTTTGATACGGCAGTGCATTTTAAAAAGATGATCAATGAATAATTTATTTACAAAATATCATACAAAATTAAACTTTTTTATCCTATTTTTTCTTTTAAAGAGGTACAGAACTTTTAAAACAATTAAAATATTTGAATATATCGCGTACTTTGGATGTTTTCATTAAATGATTTAACGGAATGTAATTGATTGTTCGTATTTGTACATATGATTTATGACTAGGTTCTTAAAATAAGAAATAACAAAGTTTAATTTTTCTAGTGTAACATAACAAGTAGTTTCTCTAGAAAGTTTTACATTGAGATTCGAAACTATGTTATAGCAAATCTTTTGTCCAACTTCTCAAATATTATCAAAAAAGTAATTGGAACAAAATGTTCTTTTTTCTACGCAACAGGAAAACTCTTAAAAAATCCGTGTTCAAAAGATTGAGCATAAATTATTCTGTACGATCAAACATTATTTAAAAAATTTTAAATGTATACTTTTTTTCCGATACTCATTAAAAGAATAATTATTCTCCTTATACTTTTCATTCATTTAACGCTAATATCCACATTATTGCACTTAAACAGTAGTGTCAAGTATTATATCATTACTGGGCCTTTGGTACTTTTTTGTACAGAGATAAAACTTTTAATATTATTTCCATGCTGTATCTTTTGTTTGAAGTTTAAAAAGCCATCTCAGCTTCATTTAAATCTGTCTCTTCTCCAATATTTTTCTTTTTTCTAAAATATTTTGCAATGAATTAATTTCAAAAGATCTATTTTGCTACTTATGTGGTTTCATAACTTACTTTCCAAAATTTTCTCCATCTTCTAATGTTTCTGGTAATTCGCAACCAGCAGTTTCTGGTAATAAAAAGCAAAGAGCCGCGCCAATGGTTGGCATTACACCAAATATCACTGGAGGAATCCAGGATTGAGTAGCTGCCTAGAATTTTAAAATTCAAATTTAAATACCAAATATTTTTCATTAATCGATTATTTTTCTTACCAATGCAACGACAAAAGGTGCAAGCATCGATCCGATTCGGGCACACATGCTACTAGTACCTACGCCGATATTCCTTACTACCGTAGGAAATAGTTCTCCGGAATACAAGTAAACAGTCGTAAATGCGACTGACATACCGACAATACCAAAGCAAGCAAAAATCATTTTTAACCATTGCATTTCTAGAAAAAAATTACATCATGAAATTGTTTACAAGTGATAGCCAAAAATTTATCAATCGTACCTGCTGGAACACATATAATTAAAAAACTAGCAACTCCAGTCATAAGGTTGCTAATAATAAGCGTTATCCTTCTTCCCAAAGCGTTCATGGTCCACCATGCAACAAAATTTCCAGGAACTTGAATTATTCCTGATACAGCGAAATTAATAAAAATGTTTCCTTGCACATGACCTATGTATTGAGACATTCCAAATAAACCCATTCCACAGACTGTCCAATTGAAGAATATTGATAGCGATTTCATTCTCATGTTGGGTGTACGGAAAAGATCCAAAATAGATGGCTTCCCATCAAATTCTGTTCTCTTCGATTTCTTTAGTATGGAAATAAAAAAATTAGCAATAGATCAACTATGTAAAAGTATCAAAAGTGTAGAGTACCTGATGTAAACAATGTTGCCGGACAATATCCGGTATATCTTTATCATCCAATTTATTGAATTTAGCAGCACTTCGAAGTACTTTACAAGCAGCTTTTTGTTTACCCATAGCCAAGAGCCACCTGGGTGACTCTGGAACGATCCACCAATAACCAAGTAATACTACAGATGGTAAAGTTATTGCTAATTGTAAGTGTTGCCAGTTTCTAAACCAATATGCCAAACCCGCTAAGGACATATGCCCTAAACTGTAGGGTATTTGATAGAGTATCGTTATGGCAGCTCTCCAATTTTTACCAACGATTTCCATGCCTATTTAATGGTAATTATAAAAAAATTGAACCAAGAGTCTTTTAATTCTAATTATTTTCTGATAAAAAAGAAATACTCACATATGACATAACTAGTAACCATTGTACCAGCAGTTGCGACGGCACTAATAAATTTCATAAATAAAAATGCTGAAAACCAGGGAACAATGGCACATCCAATGCCCGATATCAATTGTAATAAAATTGCTATCATTAAAGGAATTTTCCTTCCAAATCTGTAATCAAATCAAAAATGTCAAATTTCAGCTTAGCCTGTTACGGTAATCAATTCAATAATAAAATATTCGATAAAAAGAAAAATGTGAAAAAATAACGTGCCTATCTGAGAAATATCCAAAGGAAACGCTTCCAAGTAAAATGCCAAACATAAGAATTGATTGCTGCACATTTGCGTAATTATCACGAGAGCAAACAAGATCCCACTATATAAAATAGAATGAAAATTGTAATAAAAATTAAGTTTTGATGCAACTCGAAGAGTCAAGCTATAAAAAGTCAATTTAAAAAAAAACGTGAATATTGCCTTACTTGAGATATTATAGTTTTAGGGAATACAGATGTATCAAACTTCCATTCAGAACATTCTACGATACTGCCGTTGACCTCTGCACGACACTGGTCCGTGCTATTCATGAAGCTTGGCATTGTGCAATTATATCCCTGTTTCGGTGCCATGAAGACAATAGCCAATTGATGCCAGGCCACAGGAAACTTGATGAGCGATATTGCTGTGCATATCAGTATTTGCCATCTTCCAAGAAAACCCATAGCTTGCTGTACAGCATCGCCATCGTCTTTTTGGATATATTCACCCGTGCCGTTACTTTTTCCATTGCTGATATTATTTTTGCCGTTTACCTCTAATTAAAATGAAAATAATACATCAACACATGTTTAAAGTAAGTCAGATTCAAATGCGTATTTAATTAGCGTACCATGTTCGTCAATTTGAAAATTCTTCATCACACTTTTTGAATGCCTTAGTTGTCACAAGGGATAATGTATGCACAGAAATCAATTTTTTCAAATAAAATCCTGATTTGAAAATCCAAGAGACTGGATGTTTATGTAGAAAAGAGATGTACTCATAAATTTTACACCTAAAATGAATGTATCTATTTATTATGGATAGATTCAAGTACGTATTAAGACTGATTAAATAATTTGGGTTAGCTAGATTTTAGTAGTCTTTTTTAACATCATTGCGGTATGATTTTATAAAATCGGTATCTTATCATTTGAGATTTTTGATCATCCAGATAAAAAGATATATTTGCCTTTCGCGATTCGTACACATGATTGTTAGTTCGCAAAGGAGAAATGTAAGATTTAAGCATATTTCAAAAGTGTATCTTAGATGTATATCTGCAGATTAAAGTTGCAAATGAGAAAGTAGAAAAATCATTCAAAATCACTTTTGCTCGCATGCGATCATAAAATTTTAAAGAAATTAAAAATTTCAATACCCAACTTCTTTCTACCTTTCAATCGACAACAAATGAAATATCATTCAATATAACTTAAGCATAGTTGACAGTTGCATGTGAAAAACGCATGAACACTAATATTACGCCACTGTCAAACGAAGAATAGAATTTTTCATAGAAATAACTATGTTATGATATTAATTGAAATCCATGTAGCTAGAAGATAAAAAATGTTTTTCAAATTTGTAAAGCATTCTAATTATTTAGTTCCGTAAAATCGTACAAGTTTTTAATTACTATAGTAATAAGTGAGCAAACAAGAGAACGTTATATGTACAAAAAACGTATTTGATTCAGAAACAAGAAAAAAATTTTATCACGATGATATTCTTCAATGCGTTAATATTTTTAATAAAAATAATTGAGTGATTTGTGGAAACCATTTTTTCCGAGCTTAACGTTTTCAATCAATCATTCGACACATACACCAAAGAAATAATAACAAAACTAACACTGATAACAATGTGATCAAATACAACAAAGCTCGAAAAAGGTCGCACATACGTCTGATACATTGATACTTTAAACGCACAGGGAAAGTCAATCACTTGAACGAATTATTAAGTTCGAATTTTGTGCAAAAAAAGTCTCATTCGCCGTATCTCAAACACAAGACGACTAAAAATTTGTCTTGACGAAACTAACTCGTGATAGATATCGCTGTCACACGCAGATACATCGTGTGTTTATATTATCGCACGCGGTTAACACGACGCGCGCGCAAAATCTTCGAGAATTCATCGTGTATTCGGGCTTCGTTTCGAGTATGTAATGCAGAACATCATGTATATTGTAAACTATATATGTATGTGTATACCAACACAATAACAGAAAGCGCACATTTACAATAGGAAAATTGGCATGGATTCCAAACGGACTGATTTGCATGTGTGAGTGTATGTGCGTGAAATATCATAGAGCTGCGTACGAGAGCGCGCGTCGATCTCGACCTTGGTGCAAACCGATGCGGCGACGACGCGACGACGACGACGAAATGCGTTTCTACGCGTGTTCTTTTTTTGAAATATCTGTGCTCTCGCGCTTGCTCGCGATATCGTACGTGTGTGCCGTAGTGTAACAACGACGCACAGGCACTCGAGAGACTTTTATTGCTGCGCGCGATGGAATCGCAGACGTGCGAGTTTTTCTGGTTATAATCTAGTTTTTCTCTTTTTTTTTCGTTCAATCGAATAACGCGATCTGCAAGATCAGGAAGTCCGACGTTTCCGGCGCGATCTTTTGTTGCTAATATACAGCGAGTTGAAGTTCGTGCATTGTTGTTGAAGCTTATACGGCCCGAACTCATCATCGTGTATATTATATACGATGAAGTGCCATTAAGAGGATTTTAATGCAATTATCTCGCGCGTGTGGCAGCGGATGCAGCGGACGCGTCGTTTCAATGCATCTTAATAAGACGCATGCGATTCAACGCTGCATAGGCGGCGCGGGCATGATTTGTTTCGGACATTGCATCATGCAGAAAAGTTTGAAAAGAAAACTTTGCTCGCGCAGATCTCGTTGACGATTATGCGATCGTATATTTGACCATATTTTACAGACTGTGACGACAGGTACCGCGTTTGCGATATAAATCTTCCGTAGATACTCTCATGGCGATTGTCGTTAAATGCTAATGTCTCTAACGCTCTTAAAAAGCGACAGTAAAATAGACAATAATACCATTATGTCATATTCTCAGAAGATTATTGAACGGGGCATTATTCTTTGACTCGACTAATTTGGTAAAGTCTTTGCCCCAAAGTCTGCACAACAATGAACGAAAAAATAATTTATTCAGTCAGACGCGTCGCTTTTTTTGTCTGCAAGCAATGTGCTAAATAATTAGATATTCCGGCTAGTTTGCAAAACGTGTGCGTAAATCATTGATGATCGCGTAAATGAGCTGTCGCGAATTTCGTACTTCATGTCGTATTAAAATCATCGGCACCGAGTAAAAAGATTATTGTGTGTTTTGAGAGAATGTCACCGTTACACTAATCTTGATCAAATGATCTAACACACCGAGAAATTATGCGGCCTATACCAGTATGAAATAATTTGAACTAGTTTGTAATGAATAATAAAATAATTTATTAAGTTTCTTACAACAAGTTCCTCTTCAGATAGTGGAGATTGAACGTGTCGTGCACTCATTGTGTCTTATCACGCGTTATTTTAAAGTGCAGTTTCGAATTATTTATAGTAGCTCATTGTTTTGATCCTCGAATCGTGGTTCAATGAACAATTGAATTTCCACCAAATTTTTAATGCATAACATTTACACATAATAGAATAATTAATTTGTTGAAACTTTATATAAAGCTAGGGGCTCGTCCAAACAAAAGTCATTGATTATTTCTGTATCGATTTAACACAATTTTAATATAAATTTCTATATCAATAATAATACTTTTTTTTAATTTTATTTAGTCGTAAAACTAAAGTCTTGAAGAGAAAATGATGAGGTAAAACCATGAGTGTTTTGTTCATTACGAGTACTCAAAAGTGAACTGTGTATAAAATTCTTTCTCTTACAGAAATCAATATGTTTAAGCATATTATAAAGCTTTCATGGACACACAAGCGAAAGTTGCGATTGCATGTATATTGATGAAAAAAACAATAGCGTTTTTCTCGGTATATTCTTTTCTTTTTTTAATGAAAAATAAATAGAATCAAAGATTGAAATCGATCCATGTTATTGAGATCTTATCATAATAACATGAGAGTTCAAATTTTTGTACATATAGCTTCAATGATTAGCAATGAAGAAGAATCACAAATTTATCGCAGGTGCGATCATCAACTCAGTCCATAAAATGCAGTACACCACACAAAAGCAGAAGGCTTCAAAATTGACCCATTGATCGATGGAAAATGGGCAACATAATAACGTATTTAACAGCAATACTCTCTCACCTCGGAAAGTTTTCTTTCAAGGCCAACGACTGCCTTTATTCAAATTGTCGTCGTCTGTTCGCTGACCTCCGGAAGTTGTCGTCTGGAAACCGATTTTCACTAAAACTGACAATACTACAATATATATTACTCACAGATGAAACGCCGAATGCGTCTCTTGTACAAAAATCGGTAACTTATTTAAGCTTTCTGATCGTTTATCGTTCGATACTTGATATTTTTATAGTCATATATGAGTACTTAATAATTTATCTGTATTAATTGATAAATCAAACTCAGGGATGTTCGTGAGCTCCGATAATTACTTTGAGTAATTTTTATTTTCTAAAATTAAATGTACTTTTCTTCTTTCGCGGTTGCTCACTTTCAATCTCTTTAGCTCCAATGTGTCGGATATCAATCGTCACTTTTACGTATTAATTGTCACTTATAATTTTTCACAATTCCACATCACCCGAATTAGTGTAAAAAATCGTTTTATTCGTGACTGCGGGGCAGCAATTATTAAAAATTCGAGATTGAATTCAGAATTGCAAAAGGCAAATAGATCTCGTTAAAAGTGTCGTTTTTGCAACGCCAGTTTAGTCGGCTGATGTGATCTAGTCATACACGCGCGCGCGTGTAAAAGCGTGCTCCGCCAGACCGTATTCCATCCCGCGCGGCGCAGCACACGAATACGTACATTGCTGTACGTGTTTGCCAAAGGAAGGAGAAGGTGTGTACATAGATGGATGTGTATATGTATAACATAGCCAATGCTCGTGGACTTGGAGTTCTTATATAGTTCTCCTTTACATACATACGTATACATATGTATACGTATATATATATTGCACAGAGACGCAATGCAACAAACGCGAACAATAACACTTTCGATGTGTGTGCATGCCTTCTGTTTGGCGAGTGGAAAAACCTGACGCATTACAATGAATAACGAAAAACTAATACTGTCAATTCACATGATCGTCGAGCTGCAGCCGTGCGGCGCGTACAAGTGGTCAAATCACATAATACAGTTGATTAATCAAACTTAAAAATAGTTGCTCAATTTTAAACGGTTACACGGCGTCGATAGAAGTTGTTTGTATACGCGCGCATGTACTCGCCGAAAACGTTTAACGAGTCCGCAACATTTGTATGTCTATACGAATGCGTTGCAATGCGTACACGAATGTGCGTGTACACTTAAATAATAATTGTTCCTCTCTCAGTAAAACGCCGAGCGAAATAATTATTTTGCAATTTGCTCGCGGAAAGCGGAGCGTAATTAGTGTGCATCATCGATTCAATTTCTTATACGGAAGCAGCGTAGATATCTCTCTCTTACGAGGCCACTTGTACGTTTTTGATCGTGTCACAAGATGAACGAAAGAGGTTGTATTTTTTTTCGATTGTTTTTATTTTTGCACGATCGTGCGGGGAAGAACGATTGGATTCCAAAGTGCGACAAACGTGAACTTTAATTTCGATTTCGGAAAATATTATCACAAATAGCAGATGCGCGCATGTTAAACAACGTATAAGTATTACCGGAAAATCGTATCAATTGAAAAGTATTTAATGGTAAGCTGAAGTGCGGAGATTCAAAAATGTGAAAACTTTCATTATTGGCGCTTTACCTCTGTAAATGTTTATACTTTTAAAATAGATCTACTTTGTATATCCTAATAAAATATTATAAAATACTTTAATTAAATATAATACTTCAATTCGAATAAGTATTTTTTTTTATTTTTCGTATAATCCTATTGTTTTCATCATTGTTTCCGAATTAATATTGTACATAAAGAAAGACTAGGACTCAAATGAATTTCGTTGAGGGGAAAAGTTAACAGATCAATCATCAAGAAATCAAAACGACGCAGCAACCTACTTGGGATGTTATATTAAACATTAATAAATGCTTCGAGTAATATTCCGATTGATCTACGTAATAGCCCCTTGCGAAGAAGTGTATTACATTACGAAATCGAGATTCAAGAGACGCCACTTCAATACTTAATGACGTTAAATTTTTTATATTCATAATTTTAAAATCAAAAAATTGTTTTAAAATCAATTTAAACTGATTAAAATTTAACTGACAAGTATTCTTTTATGCATTTGTGAAAATATCAAATATATATTGCATCATTTCGCACAAAATACTTATTCCCATAACCATTTTTACTTCATGGGTATTATTTCAATGAGTGGATATAAATATTACTAGTTTTTGAACAAAAAAAAAATTGTCATCCTTTATTCGATGAAAAAAGTTACTTTGTTTATTTTACTATGATAGCTGCTTAATAAATTTTAACGATTAAGTATAACACCACCAAAAATTATGATATAAATCTCGATCATTTTCATATGTAAGAGTATTACAATTGTAATTACAATTGTATACTTTTAAGCCTTTCAACTTACAAATAATACCAGCACAACTGTAACAATATTTCCGTGAATTTTCATCGTATAAAGTAACTGCAATTTCTTTGACATCGGAGTATTTCTTGAGCAAGTGAAAATTTCAAGCTTGCATTCTACATTATGCGAGGTAAAGGATCGAACATACAATTATTTAATGAATTTTTATTTACTAAATACAAATATTGTTTTGTATTTATTTTGTTACATTTTATGTTTTTAAATCTTACTTTTATTTTGTACGCAATGATTATTACAAACTAATTTTTTTTTTAATTTCAGCTGTGACTGCTATAATTTTATTCATACCAGTTATCTGTGTCTCGACGGAAAATTATCATAAATCAGAATGGAACAAACGACGATCGTCAAGTAATTTTTTTGATGATGGAAGTCTTAACTCTGAACAATTTCATTCAGGTTGGTGGCAAAATAATTTCAATAAACGTGACAGATTGGGAACATTAGACGATAAAAATGAATTACGTTGGATAAATAATAGAAACAATCATCACCGTACATTTAAAAATCAACATAATTCGCACAATATATTATCCTCTTCACCTGACCGCACTTTACATTCAATAATAGATGATCGAAAATGGCTAAAACAAATCAATCCCAATCAGTGGCATCGTAATGAAAGACATCTTTCTTCTAGTCATGATATATTTCGTTTTCCTCGATTAAATTCGCATTCAATTTTTGCAGATTCATCTGTGGGGTCTAAAGATATTAAAATTAACAGACCTTTCTGGCATAACGAATTTAAAGATAATTTAGACTTTAGTTCATGGAAAACTGGCGAAAAGCATAGAGTCACTCGACATGCTAATAAAGTACTGATTGATTCTTCAGCTAGTAGTGAAAGTTTAGCATCTTCGAATGTTTGGGCATCAGGTATAGATAATATTCCTTCAAAATCAAAACTTGCTTCGCATCAAACTCATAATTGGATTCAGGGCTCTAACCATGGAATAAATCCTAACAATAAGGCGTTGACCTCTTCAAGCTCTTGGGCTATTAGTAATAACATTTCTCCTGCATCAAAACTCTCCGTAGATCATTCCCAAAAGTGGCTAGAGAATACCAAGCCCAATTTAAATTTAAACTTAGAAAATATAATTGGACACGATTCTCTTACCAGTAATCAAAAGAAAAATTTAAATATCATTGAGCCAAATACTAAGGTGTTATCTTCTTCACATTCTTGGGCAATTAGTGATGTTCAATCACCTCCAATACCAAAACTGCCCGTAGATCATTCCCATCGCTGGACTGAAAGTTCCAAGGATAATTCTAATTTGAATTTAAATTTGAATTTGAATAATAATCATAAAAAAATTCCAAGTATTGAAATTCTAAACAATGATGACTGGATTTCTTCGAATTCATGGGCCATTAGTGACAGAGACATTATTGCTGAATCATTACTGGATAATGATAATAATCTGCAAAAGAATAATATTAAGACACCCTGGTTACCTCTAAATATTGCTAATATAAAGGATGCTACTTCTATAATGGATATCATTAACAAAAAACAACCATCTGATTTATCAACATTAGATTCAAGTAAAAAAAGTGATTGGGATTTAAATCTTTTGAATGAAATTTCTGATGAACATGAACTTTGGACAAATGAACCTATAAAGTGGAAAGAAATAACAAATATGCCTGATATACCAGATCTAAATGAGGGGGTTGAAATTAATAAATTACAAGACTTGGACTTGAACATATGGAATCAAATTGGAAGTTCTACTTTAAATGTAGATCAAGGAAGTGATCTCAGCAGTAGCAAAAATATTATTGACTCTAATAAAATATTAGATCTTTTAAACAAAAAACAACACTGGAACGACGAACAAATATCCATTAAATGGAATCAAAATAATAAACATTTACCGTTAGATTTAGGTCATATAAATGTCCGAGAATCTTCATTACAATTAGATGATGACCTTAACATTAATAATCATTCTACGCTCGAAGATTTGAAAATCGTTAAGTTACTAAATGAACTCAATAAGTCTAAAAACATTCATGAAATAGTTTCAATTAAAGATATACCAAATTTAGATATATCAAAAATCGTACGAGAAACACAAATAGAAAATTGGAAACAATTTAAAATAATAGCAGAAATTATTATTATTGAAAATAGAAAAACTATGAGAATTTCGATTTCTGAATTAATTGCAAATAATACTAACACGAATGAAATCAACGTTTATGAATGTCGAAAAAAACTATTGATTCATTACCTTATTATCAAAAAGAAAGTTGTCCAGAGAATAAGGTTCTGCGATCATCAGTGTAGAAATGGTTTAAGACATCTCAGAGGAAATGAACAGGAATATGATGAACAATGTTTAAGACAAGTTAAAAAAGAGTTGGATGATATCATTGCACATTTCAAGGACAAAATTGAGTCGATTACAAAAACCTGTGAAGTAATTCAAAGTACTAGTACGACTTCAGGTACGTGTGAAGTAATTTATAAAAATATAATAAGAAATCGACATAATAAAGTAGTTTTAATACGATTATCACAATAGGTACAACTCAAAAAATTGAGACAACATCCATCGAAGAAAACACAACTCCTAGTATTCATACAACATCAGGAGGAAATACTGATAGGACTTCAACTGACATGGATCAGACTACGCAAACTACAACAGAAGCGGTGACTACATCCAGTACAATCCCAGATGATAATTTAACCACAAATAGTATAACAGAGTCTCCAATAACACCTACAACTAACGAACCGACTGAAACATCAGTAACGGCTTCAGAGTTTACTACTCCTTCTGAGGGATCTTCAACGAACGACAAGACCGATATGACAACAAGCGGCCCTACTAATACTACACCATTTGATGTCACGGGCACGACGCCAAGCTTCACAACAAATACAACACCAAGTGATACCACCGATACAACATCTAGTGTGACTGGTATAACTGAAACTCCCGATGAAGGGACGACGACAAGTAGTGATATAACTGGCTCACCAACACCAACAATTACAGGCGAGCCGACGAATCCAACAGTGACTGCATCAGACGCTACAACCCCTTCTACTGAACCTACAACTTCTGGTGAAAATACAGACACTACTCCGTCTATTACTTCATCAACATCAGGTGGTAACACTGACACTACTCCGTCAGTAACAACATCCACATCTGATGGCAATACAGATCCAAATACAAGTAATACTACACCAAGTGTAACAGACTCGACAGTGACACCCGATGGAGGATCAACGACTAGTAGTGAAAATACTACGCCATCGCCAACGAACCCATCAGTCTCTACTCCAGAAACTACAACTCCATCGACTGGTTCGTCTCCCAGTGACTCTACAGACACGACTGAATGTATCGAAGATACAACTCCTTCTGGTACCCCATCAACTTCTGGTGGAAATACAGACACTACTCCTGCTGGTACCCCATCAACTTCTGGTGGAAATACAGACACTACTCCAACGGGCCCATCATCGACGTCTGGTGGTAACACAGATCCAAATACAAGTAACACTACACCCAGTGTAACAGGCTCGACTGGGACCCCCGATGGAGGATCAACGACTAGTAGTGAAAATACTACGCCATCGCCAACGAACCCATCAGTCTCTACTCCGGAAACAACAACTCCATCGACTGGTTCGTCTCCCAGTGACACTACAGATACGACTGAATGTATCGAAGATACAACTCCGTCTGGTACAACATCAACTTCTGGTGGAAATACAGACACTACTCCTGCTGGTACCCCATCAACTTCTGGTGGTAATACAGACACTACTCCAACGGGCCCATCATCGACGTCTGGTGGTAACACAGATCAAAATACAAGTAACACTACACCCAGTGTAACAGGCTCGACTGTGACCCCCGATGGAGGATCAACGACTAATAGTGAAAATACTACGCCATCGCCAACGAACCCATCAGTCTCTACTCCGGAAACAACAACTCCATCGACTGGTTCGTCTCCTAGTGAAACTACAGATACGACTGAATGTATCGAAGATACAACTCCGTCTGGTACCCCATCAACTTCTGGTGGAAATACAGACACTACTCCTACTGGTACCCCATCAACTTCTGGTGGTAATACAGACACTACTCCAACGGGCCCATCATCGACGTCTGGTGGTAACACAGATCCAAATACAAGTAACACTACACCCAGTGTAACAGGCTCGACTGTGACCCCCGATGGAGGATCAACGACTAGTAGTGAAAATACTACGCCATCGCCAACGAACCCATCAGTCTCTACTCCGGAAACAACAACTCCATCGACGGGTTCGTCTCCCAGTGACACTACAGATACGACTGAATGTATCGAAGATACAACTCCGTCTGGTACCCCATCAACTTCTGGTGGAAACACTGATACTACACCTTCTGGTACCCCATCAACTTCTGGTGGTAATACAGACACTACTCCAACGGGCCCATCATCGACGTCTGGTGGTAACACAGATCCAAATACAAGTAACACTACACCCAGTGTAACAGGCTCGACTGTGACACCCGATGGAGGATCAACGACTAGTGGTGAAAATACTACGCCATCGCCAACGAACCCATCAGTCTCTACTCCGGAAACAACAACTCCATCGACTGGTTCGTCTCCCAGTGACTCTACAGACACGACTGAATGTATCGAAGATACAACTCCTTCTGGTACCCCATCAACTTCTGGTGGTAATACAGACACCACTCCAACGGGCCCATCATCGACGTCTGGTGGTAACACAGATCCAAATACAAGTAACACTACACCCAGTGTAACAGGCTCGACTGTGACCTCCGATGGAGGATCAACGACTAGTAGTGAAAATACCACACCTGCTCCAACACCATCGTTTACCACCCCAGCAGTGACTAATCCGGAAAATACGACGCCTTCTGGTGGTTCTTCTCCTAGCGAAGCTACAGACACAACTGAATGCATTGAAGATACCACTCCTTCGGGTACCCTATCAACTTCTGGTGGAATCACTGACACTACACCTTCTGGTACACCATCAACTTCAGGTGGAAATACAGACACTACACCGAATGTAACAGGATCTACTGTGACATCCGATGGTGGTTCAACAACTGGTAGTGAAAATACTACGCCATCGTCGACAAACCCATCAGTCACTACTTCCGGAACCACAACTCCTTCGACTGGTTCTTCTCCCAGTGATGCTACAGATACAACTGAATGCATCGAAGAAACACCTTCAACTCCCGGTGATAATTCCAATACCACACCTCCAAGTTCAAACGACGCAACTTCAAGTGTAACACAAACAAGTGTTACTCCAGACGGGGGTGCAACAACATCTAGTGCTAGTGTAACAGTTCCAAATGGTGGCACTTCAACAATCAGTGATAATACATCATCTTCTACTAATATTTGTAAGCTTTATTCATTTTTTGTCAAATCTTAAGTTTTTTCAGTACTTGGAGCGGTGACAACCCATTTTCATTATGCAAATGAATAATTTTAGGATGTGAGGGGATTGACCTCTCTTAAAACCACTGCTCATTAGCGAACATGTACTCATTTCTGGTCAATTACTAAATAGGTAATTGCTATATATCTTATTGCGTGTTTCAGTGACAACTGTTTCTACTTCAACTGCCACGCCTGATATCAATGGTAATACCACCGAATGTGTTGAAGAAGCAGATGCAACAACAGAACGAAATAGTTCTGGCCAATCCCCTGGTTTAGTTGGTGGATTATTGCAGGGTTTAACTGGGTAATCAATCTCTAAAGACGATTCGACTTTAATGGCGATTATCTCTAGACGAGTCGATTTAAATAGTTTTATTATATAGAAGTAGTATCTAATAAATTGAATTTTTAAAAAATGGTCATTTATTTAATGATAATTTTTTTATTCCTTACATACCCTACCAATTGCCTATGGCATGAGATCAAACAGCATCGAATGATCTTGTTCTACACATTCATAATAAGAACGGAAAGTCCAACAGAGATTTTTTTCAAACCGTTTGCGACCAATAAGCCCAACTGAGATTTTTATCGACCGTACTTGCGAAAAGTATCACACAACAAGTAATATGGCATTAAAAAACCTTATTCAAAAAGTTTAAAAAAAAATTCCATTACTCAAATTTTGTCAAAAAAAACTTGTAAAAAAATTTAATTGAATAAAAGCTTTCACTAATTTGAAATACGATTATTGTTTTTTAGTTTTTTTTCAATAGATTCGTAAGTAAGATTTTTTTCTGAACTTTTTTGAATGAATTTTTTTTAGTTCAATATATCTCATAAGATTTTCTTAAATAACTAATTTTTTAGAAAAATATTTTTATGGACATTTTGTTCACCGTAAGTTTTTAACCGGGTACTAAAAATAGATTGTTTGTGTTATCCCAAAATGATGTTGGCGATCTACGAACTAACCGATTGTATCTGAAAATTTAAAAAGAAATGTTAAACCATTACCTAATTCAATTAAGACTAAATTGCTAACTAGAATATTGCACCCGTTCAATTGTTGAATGACATTTCGAAAACGTAAAAATCTGTAAAATTGTTATAAAATGTAACATTTTAAAATATTTACGCATTTTTTAATTATTTTATAAATCATCTTATGAATTTTGCATTTTCATTATTATTTCATTTTTTCAGGAAAAATAAAATAATTGTAAGTTGGATTAAATTATTTTAATTAAAATAATGCGTTATTTCACTAAAAATGAAGGCTAAAAACGAATCAAATTCATACTATTTATTACAATTCACATCGTTATATGTACAACATCTGAAACTTTTTTCTGTTGAGGTGACTATATTATTTTAAAAAGACTTCTAAGTTTCGGTTCAAAAAATGTTTTTAAACCTTTCTTCTGAGACATCTATGTAATATATTTCTTAAAGACTTTATAGAGTTTATCATTAAGTATAAGTCTAGAGAATCGAATTTTAAATTAAACTTAACAATAACATTGGAGGTTCTTTGAAAAACTTGAAACATGTGAAATATAGGAAATATTAACTATTTTTCTCTCGTCCTAATGCTAATTAAAACAAATTGATTTTAATTCCAACGATAATATCCTTATATACATGCTATTCACGTATGTATAGATATTTGTTTACATAATCGTACTACTCGAGATAGGTCTTATCAAAACTCCACATTGAGTTGCTTAGCTGTTAGACTATCTACTGGGAGCAATTGATACTCTCCAGTGATCTTCAAAAGCGTACACAAATCGTACGCTCGATGCAGAAATGTTTTTAGAATTCTTTCTTGTTATAACAATTGTGTACGGCGGCTTGTGTTGCGATACAGTGAGTACAATCAAAAACAGATTATTTTTGTTCAGAAATAGTGATAAAAATTAAATTGTAAAACAGGTTAAAAATGGACCGAGCTTTGCCGTCGATTATGAAAACAACCAATTTTTACTTGATGGAAAACCGTTCAGGTATGTTAGTGGTAGTTTCCACTATTTTCGGGCTCCACGACAGTATTGGAGAGATAGATTGCAAAAAATGAGAGCTGCTGGATTAAATGCAGTCTCAACGTAAGTATATAAATTATAAAAGTTATACTGTAAATTGTTTGATTATCGAAGTGTTTTTGTGATTAAGGTACGTTGAATGGAGTCTACATCAACCGGAACCTGACGTTTGGGTATGGGACGGCGATGCAGATATAATTGAATTCATAAAATTAGCACAAGAAGAAGATCTTTTGGTAATCTTGAGACCAGGTCCTTACATTTGCGCAGAAAGAGAATTTGTCAGTATATATCTTGTTAAAATTGAATACATTTAACCATAAAAGTAATTTGCTTTTTAAAGTCGTAATATTTCAGGGAGGTTTTCCCTACTGGCTTCTGAACCGCGTTCCTGACATCAAATTACGAACAAATGATTCAAGTAAAAATCGCTAAAACATATTTTTTTGGTAATATATTTTTAAATTGTACTCATTTTATCCATTTTTTCATGATTCAATAACAAAAGGATATTTGCAATATGCCGAAGAATACCTTAATCAGTTATTAATTCGCGTAAAGCCTTTTCTAAGAGGAAATGGAGGACCAGTTATTATGGTTCAGGTATTTTAGTTTAGATTATATTTCCTCAAAAAATTGTTATCACCTTATCACGTAATAAATTTATTTTATAGATAGAAAACGAATATGGAAGTTTTTATGCTTGTGATAGTGACTACAAAAATAAGTTGAAGGATACTGTTAAAAAGCACGTTGGAAACAAAGCTCTTTTATATACAACGGATGGTTCGTATAGAGAAGCTCTTCGATGTGGTCCAATACCGGGGGTTTATGCTACCGTCGACTTTGGAACGTCTGCAAATGTTACAGAAAATTTTGAGATGATGAGAGAAGTTGAACCAAAGGTTAATTTAAATAATTTTTTTGTACTATCTCCTAACTAAAATACTTAATTTAAAATTATAATTTACTTTTTCCGGTACATCAAAATTAGTAACTCAGATTTACATGAAAATGTTCATATATAGTACGCGATATACGATTTTCATCGACTACTTTAACATAAATAATACTGAAATATATTTAATACTTCTAGGGACCTTTGGTGAACTCAGAATTTTATCCAGGTTGGTTAAGTCATTGGGAAGAACCATTTGAGAGAGTAGAAACGCCAAACATCACCAAAGTTCTCGATGAAATGTTATCGTTAGGGGCCTCTGTGAATTTTTACATGTTTTACGGTGGGACAAACTTTGCATTTACTTCAGGTAAAACTAGAGTGAAAATCTATAAAACAATATGTTAAATATATTTTTAAAAAAGTTCAATTAATAGTACCATTTAAACGAAAAAATTGCAAACAGTTGTCGAATGTTTCAGCGTTTGTGGATGACATTGATTTATTGAATGTCTAGACAATGTTATATTTGTTTATTCAAGAATGAAAGCCATAAAAAATATCAAATAATCTTGTACGACGAGAATATTCAATTGTAACATTGTTGTCATGAAATTTTATAATAAATCTGAGTCATTTTTAGGCGCTAACATATTCGACAACTACGCTCCAGACCTTACATCTTACGACTATGATGCACCTCTTACTGAAGCTGGAGATCCAACTGATAAATACTTTGAAATTAAAAAAATAATATCAAAGGTAAGGCAAAAGTATTGATTTTGGCTGAACTTGAAAAAATTTAAATATTGTTGAAACAATTTCAGTATTTGCCCATACCTAAACTACCCACTCCAGCCGTATCCTTGAAGGGCGAATACGGCTCAGTGACGTTGCGACCAGTACTCAATTTATTCGACATGGCTTCTCGAAATTTATATGGAACAAAACAAGTAAAAGTCATGACCAACGATCCACCAACATTTGAAGCTCTTGGTTTGTCCAATTGGCTAGTATTATACGAACTTGTAGTACCTGAAAGTCTACGCTCTGAAGATAAAATTCAATTAAATGCGTTTCCAAAAGATCGAGCATTGGTATACGCAGATGGAAAATTTTGTGGTACTTTGAGTCGTTCTCACAGAGTTAATAGTACAATTTTAGATACACCAAACGAAATCAAGATATTAGTTGAAAATCAAGGTCGAGTAAACTTTGGAAACATAGATGTCGAAGATTTTAAGGTAATAAATTCCACTTCATTCAAGATCCTTTATTTATAAAAACTATACATAAATTGAAACATTATATTTATACTATTTTTAGGGGCTATTCAATGTATCGATAAATGACGCTAAAGTCGAATACTGGAATGTTACTGGTTTCCGTTTTGATGAAAGTATGGAATCTTCGTTAGGTAATATGCAATCGACTATTGCTGAAACACGTACATTAATGAGTGGCCCACAAATCCTAATCGGTCATTTCGAAATTGACGGAGAACTTCGTGATACATATTTGAATACAGAAAATTGGGGGAAAGGAATTGCTTTTGTAAATGGTCATAATCTGGGAAGATATTGGCCTTTGATAGGGCCTCAATTAACATTATATGTTCCTGCCCCTTACTTGAAAAAAGGCAAAAATTTGTTGGTGTTAGTCGAGTTGGAGTATGTCCCTGAAAATAGAAAGATTAGTTTCCAAACTATTCCAGTTTTGGATTATCCAGCCAAAATCATAACAACATTAAAATAGATGTGAAGAAGTATTATGTTTCAATAGAATTATTGTTCTCCAAAACCATTAGTTTCTCAAAACTTTTCAAATAGTAAGTTGTTGCGATGTGAATAAATATTTCACTGTTATTTTCTTTGTTTTTGTTAAAAAGTGTGCAACGGTATGTATAATACAAATTAATCTAATCTAATATTTATGAGGCTATATATATTTCAGAAATAAATGAGTATGCAAATTATTCACTAGTTTCTTTGTATTATTCTCACCCGCAAGATAAAACTCGAATGAAAGCGCTCAGAGAACTGTGAGGACGAAAATAGATGCACAGTCTGAATTATTTGTTATTATGAGTTTAAGCATATTCGTGCAATTAGAAGATCAATTTGTTATTGATTTTATATTTATTGTTATTTTTTTACGTGCAAATGAATTTGTTATTCTAGACGGTATCATGATACATCGTAACAAATGGAAAGGCGAAAACGATAAAGTTATCGATTTATTGCGATAAAATCTTGCGGCATTATTTTTACTTCGATTGATAGAGCTGTATCCGCTTGACCTTTGAATGGTGTAACTGTATCCATAGCGCTCTTGCAAATATTCACAATCCCGAGGCATATTTTTCTACTTGTGTTTAGTTCGAATCTGGCTACCTAATCACAAAGATCGACGGATCTCCTATAGTATTTACTTTTAAATATTTTGAACGAAAAACATCAGAAAAGATTAAAAATTTTATGATCGAAACTTTTTTAAATTATTTTATCAACTACTATCGTTTTAAAAACTATAAACATGAAAATAAGGCTGCGGATTGCACTAATTTTAATTTGGCTGTGTATGATTACAATATCTTCTTCGAAAAATGTAAGTTAACCCTAATTTTATAGGTGAAAGTATACTTTAACAAATATTTAAACATTACATCATTCAAAATTTTTTATAATAATTTACTTTGCATTATCATTTACATTCCAAACATAAAAACATCAATTAATTTTAGCTTCAATTTGAAGTAGCATTTTTTTTTACTTACTTTAAATAGGAAACCCAGAGCTACAGTTTCACCGTAGATTATGCAAACGATCAATTTCTGCTCGACGGAAAACCGTTCAGATATGTGGCAGGCAGCTTTCACTACTTTAGAACTCCTCGACAAAATTGGCGTGACATACTGCGAAAAATGCGCGTCGCCGGATTAAATGCCGTTTCAACGTAAGTACAGCAACAACGATGACACTTAGACTCGCTGCCAATGCTCGCAGGCAATTCCGACAGTGCATACCAAGAGTGTTTCCTTCGTGTATATAATAAAATGACGTACCGTTGCGTATTTATTCAAATTTTCTTATTTAAAAATTTAGCTATGTCGAGTGGAGCACACACGAGCCCGAACCTAATCAATGGGTTTGGTCTGGAGATGCCGATATCGAGGAATTCATAAAAATCGCTGCACAAGAGGGTCTATTCGTTATTTTAAGGCCTGGACCTTATATATGCGCTGAACGAGATTTTGTAATAACTGATATTCTAATTATTAAACTCAGTTCTTATTAGTATTTACGAATCATCGAATTTACAAAATTTCTTATCATACTTTAGGGAGGTTTTCCGTATTGGTTGCTCAAAGTTGTACCGGATATAAAAATTCGTACCAAAGATGAAAGTAAGTTCTACATTATTATTTATTTACTCGACGTGCAGTATCTACAAAACATTAATTTTTTAGGATACAACTTTTACGCTGAAAGATACATTCACGAACTTTTCAAAAGGGTAGGACGTTATCTTCGAGGCTATGGTGGTCCAATTATCATGGTTCAAGTGAGTAACAAAAAAAAACCTGCTAAGTATAGCCGTGTCGTGATATTATATTATTTTCTTTTACAAACGATTCTCTGTAGGTTGAAAATGAATACGGGAGCTTTTATTCCTGCGACGACGTTTACAAAAAGAAAATGTTCGATCTTTTCAATTACCATGTAAAAAATAATGCTCTCTTATTTACGACCGATGGCACAGCCAGAAGAATGTTACAGTGTGGAACGATTCCAGGAGTTTACAGTACGATCGATTTTGCCGCTGGTTCAAATTTGAATTACAGTATTAAAATGATGAGACAGTATTCGCCCAAGGTATCGTGTAAAATTACTGCGATTTTTAATTGCTTCTGTCGCAATGAATAATTTTTACTTTTTTTAGGGACCTTTGGTAAATTCGGAATATTATACCGGATGGTTGACCCATTGGAATGAAACTTTCCAGAGAACTGATGCAGATTACGTAGCAGCATATCTCGATGAGATGTTGGCGCGAAATTTTTCGGTCAATTTTTACATGTTCATCGGTGGAACGAACTTTGGTTTTACATCTGGTGCCAACATCAATGAATTTTACTGGCCTCAATTAACTTCTTACGATTACGATGCCCCGCTCACTGAGGCAGGAGATCCTACCCCTAAGTATTTCAAAATCAGATCTGTCATTTCAAAAGTACGCAAAGCTCAACTTCTTTCTTCTTTTTTCTCATTTCGAATTTCTCACCTCGATTATCATTGCAGTACTTACCTTTGCCAAATGTAGCGATACCCACCATCGCACCAAAAGGAAATTACGGAGTCGTCACGTTGATACCTGCGCTCGACTTGTTTACCAGCGAAAGTGTCAATCTTTTTGGATCCGTCGAAGCCGTATTCGAGAAACCTCCCTCGTTCGAGGCCCTCGGCTTATCGAATTGGTTGGTTCAATACGAGACCGACGTACCGTTGCTCAGAAATCCGAATAATCTTACGCTCGAAGCCAGAGTCAAAGACAGAGCTTTGGTTTACGCAAACGGAAAATTATCGGGTGTTCTCACGAGGATGACCAACAAATACGTGATGAATTTGCCGAAAGGAACGAAAAAAATTAGGCTTTTGACGGAGAATCTGGGTCGCGTCAATTATGGCAGTAACGAGCCGGAAGACTTCAAGGTACAAAAATTGTATACAAATAATCACTAAAAACATTTCTATGTTAAAACTGCATATTTTTTTATAGGGCATTTCGAACGTAAAGTTAAATAACGTAACGCTTGGACCGTGGAAAGTCGTTGGTTTTAGACTTTCGTCCTTGAAAAACAACGATTTCTTACTAACTAAAACGCGCAAGCAGACTGGAAAACTCTTCGACGGACCGCAGTTCCTCGTTGGGTACTTTGACGTCGAGGGTGAGCCTTTGGATACGTACTTGAACACAGTTGGCTGGGGCAAAGGTGCCGTCTATGTCAACGGATACAATCTTGGAAGGTATTGGCCGTCGGTCGGGCCTCAGGTCACCCTATACGTACCGGCAGCTTTTCTAAAAAAAGGCCAAAATAGCGTGGTGGTATTGGAGCTCGAGTACGTACCGCAAAATCGGATAATGAAATTACAAGGGTCGCCGATTTTGGATTATTCGTTGGAGTTGGCCAAGGATCATCACAATAATAAAGTTTGGGTGATATCCTGAGTGCAATTATTTCAAATTTACACAAAATAGGCAATGAGCTCAATTTTGTATGGTTTTTGGTATTTATCGATAATAAAAAACAATATTTTTTTATTTTAAATTAGAGCAACTGCGTGATTATTCTATTAAACAAAGTACCACGGCCAAGTAATTGAAGGTTTTTGAAATTAACTGGTTGTAAATAATAAATGGAATTGAAAGCTTCTTACACATTGATGTAATAGCGATGATACGGGTGTGCCTTGTGCTCGACGGAATTCAATTATAAAACGGCCTGGTAGAAGGTTACACCTCATTCATTAGATAGACATAGTACAGGTTTCATTCATATAAAATAGGTGAAGATAAATGGAGCGAATCGAAACTACTACGTTCTAACTCTTTATAGGCACACATTTTTTTATAACATTTAAACGTGTTCATTGCCCTTGAATAATGTATTCATGATCAATCATTCAATTTGATTTTCCTTAAAATTATATTCTCCATTTCAGATGTATGCTTTCACAAGATTGATCGCGATCGTGAAATACTTCGTATAATTTTTACGGAAACTCGATAAAAATCTATATTTATTGATTGAGAGCAGCTTAACTCAAATTCAGAAACAATTACTAATGATGAAGTAACAAGATTAATATTTCCTTTCAGTTCATATCGATATTTTTGTCGATAATAAGTTTGATATCTTGATTAATGATTTATTAATTATTATTCGAGAAAATTTTCAGTGTTTTTTTAACAATCCAAATATTATTTCAATGAGCAACACACTGAAAATAATCAAACTGAAAATTGCACATAGGATAATTTGACTCGAATTGTCAAATTTTAAATTTAACAAATAAATGTTTTTTTTTCACAAGACTAGTTTTGTACTATCAATAATATTAACAATTTATCAAAATAGTCATTTATTGAAAAACTATATTCATTATCGTACATTTACGACTAGTATACTTTATGTTCAGTATTAGAAAAATTATTTTTATAATCAATATGAAACATAACGAAGTTCTTATATTAAACTTTTAGTTTTAATCGCATAACAAAAATGAAATATATATCATATATGTACATACTGATATATACTATATAAGTACATTTGACTTTAAATATGAAAAAATAGAACAATGTTCAATGTAAAAAAATACATTATGCTGAGATGACGGTACCAGAATCGATACCTGAATCGTTAATAGGATCTTCTTTGAGAGTTTCAAGTTTACCGTTTAATTTTGAGTCTTCTACTCCAGATTCTTCGGAAGTAGGTTTATCATTTGACTCATCTTCAGTTGAATCAAGTTTTAAAGTTTCAACATGAGGTGTACCATCACTATCTTCTGCATGGGCAGCATGGAATGCCGCCGATTGAGCAGCATGAGTTTGAGAAGACGTATCACGTTTCAAAACTTCACGCAAAGCCATTGTAGCATAGGATGATGGTTTCAGCGACATTTGAATGACCAATGCTTTGAATTTGCCTTCTAAAATGAAATCATAAATTGATGGTTTAGCAAGAGCCTCATGAAAAATGAAAAAAATTGTTTCTTACCTGGATTATCTACTGGTGCTTTAATGTCTTTTAATTCGTCGATGTCAGAAATAAGTAAGTCATCAATTTTGTTTGCATAGCGTAAAAGATTCCAACTTAAATTTTCAGGCTTTTGGACTATTTTTCTATATGAACCACTCAGGGTATATTTTCTGAAAAAAAAAACATTAATTAATATTATTTGAAATATTTAAAAGAAAAAAAGAGATTAATTTATTAATAGTACATACTTGTTCTTTTGCTTTAAATCTGTTGTAAGTCCATCTTTTTCAAGATGTTCATCAAACCATGCTTTAGCATAACTTGGGTAAGTTACTTTCCAACCAGGTTGAGGCATAACTACATCGAATATTGTGTAAGATGATAGATCAGCCTCAGTTAATACTTTAACTTTTGGCAATTCATTTTCTGATTCATTTTTTTCAGTAGTTTTAGTTTTCTCTTCAACTGGAGAGTCTTCTTTTTTGACCTCTGCGTTGTCAGAGTTTTCATTTGTTTCTGCTTTAGTAGACTCCTCAGTTGTTTGCTGTTCTTCAGCAACAGTTTCAACATCATCCTTTGAATCAGGATTTTCATAAACTAAATCACCTACAACTGGTTTAAGTCCAAATTCCTTTATACGCTTTGAAACTATCAAGTTCCATACATAGCTTTGATATGAGTGAATATACATTAATATTGTATTTCTTGGAACCATATCCAAAGCTCCTTGTGGATTATTCATTCCATGAATATTAATACCCCATAGAAGTTTGGCTTCTATTTTGTCATTTCTACCAATTTTTTGATATGCTAAGCGAGCATCTTTTTTTTCTTGGTAAATTTTTCTAGCTTCTACCAAATTATAGTCTTGCTCACCGTCTCTTGGTTTGAGAATAAGATCAATAGCTTCTTCAAATTTACCTACAATATAATTTAAAATTTTTATACTGTCAAAATATTTTCAAAATTTGAGTAACAATAACTCAATAAAGAAATAAGAAGTTCAACTAACCTTGAAGAAGTGCCTTGCCAATCACATGAGTTGGAATGGTTGCAATAGTTCCGAACCTTTGAAGACCATAGTAGTTAATGTATCCATGATCTCTCAACGAAGTCATTGCCTTTTCCACTACATCATCAGCAACAGTAACGTTTCTGAGAGCAATAGTAAACCTATTGCCTTCTAATTTTCCTAACTTCAAAGGTTCCTTTTCAAATTTGAAGTTACCAACAAAAGCTCCCTTAACAACTCGGGCTGCATGCATGATACTTTTTGGATTCATTTTCTTTACACTTATCCATTGAGTGGTTTTTGCTCGTCGATCTTTGGTACCTGCATAATTGAAGATACCAGATTTGACTCTCAAAACTTTCGCCATTTGATTCAATGCATCCATAGTATCCATGTTCACTTTGTGTAAAACAAAGTGACAGTAATCACCTCCTCTAACAGACCAATCTTTACGATTATCTGTTTGTCTTGTACCTGTACATATTATAGATTATAAAATATTTGAAATAATTATTATATATTTACTTTAAAAAATTATATTTACCAAATTTGTTAGGGTATGGTTTAGAGAAAACCATGACTTTTTTAGAACCAATTTCTTTGGTCTCACTTGTTACTTCCGTAATTTTTTTGACAATTACATGGACAGCTCTACGCTGAGCTTTATCCATATCGGTAACGTCAATTTCAACAGATTCACTTTTATCTGCTAGAGTTTGAAGTTGATCCCAAACACCTTCAGGAATTTTTTTCTTCAAATCTTCCAGATTTTCTAAATCTTCAGGCTCTGGAGGTATGTCTTGATTATTCAATTGAGCGATTTCTCCATTTGAAGATATTTCATGAACAACAAAGTCTGTAAATCTTTCCTTCATTGTTCCATTGAATCCTTCGGCATTGCCAACATATTCAGTAATCCCAAGATCGACTTCCTTGAGTCTTTCCCCAACATCATATCTTGGCTTCTTGTAGTAATGTCTTCTATTGTCGCCACCACCATGGTAACCTGTAAAAAGTTCATTACTTTAATAATGTTTCAAATCTTCAATTTCAATAAAATGTAAACATTCTATTTTGCAGGTACTTCTAGCAAGTTAAAAGTGTTATGAGTTGTAAAAAATATTATTATTTCGAACATCAAAAATCGCTCCAAAAATATTAACAGATCATGAAAAGTCAAGTGTTTTACTTATTTTGATCAAAAGTATCAAAATTACAGTATTTTCAAATCTAAATATGCTTTGAAATATTTTCCAGCAGCTTATCTTTGATGGTATGAATAAGATGAAACAGTTCGACTCAATAACACGACGCGCGATCAAAACATTCGGCTAAGTTCCAGGAATTTGTACAAAAACAAGTCCTTGAACCTGTAATCAAGGTTATTGAAACTTGTACAATTTATTACTGATGTAATGCACGCAATTTACGAAAATTAACTTTTCTTTAATCGCGTAAAACGATTAACACGAATTTCGTTGCAAAATGAATCGAGTCGTGATTATGAATCTCGGCAAAATATTATTAGTGAATAATTAAACCCAAAAAGCGATCATCTAACCAACTGGTACTTACGATTTTTGCCATAATAACGACCACCACGATTTCCTCCGCGGAAATGCGAGTTGAATTTCCTCGGCTTTTTGTCATGATGTTTATCGCCGGCAGAATCGCCTCCTCCGGTGGTGCTCACTCCCTTCTCGCCGTCTCTATGTTCACGGGGCATTTTGATTGAATTTCTCGTTGAACTTTCTGTAAAAAAAGCACAAAAGATTCTATTCACACACGTGGTTCTTGATGAAATTAATTTTAGACAGCAACAGAAGCAAAATATTCGATAGAATGTTCGATCGAACAAATGTGAAGCAGTTCAAACTTCAGTGATTATTTGGTTTTTAGTACAAATAGATTATCGATTGATATCAATCCACAAAAAAGTGACATCGTTAATATATGAAAACGATCGAATGAATGTCCTTCCAAAGAGCGAGCGATATTATTTATTTTTAAAAAAATGAACGGAGCACACTCACCGTTTAAGGTTAACACGAACACTTGAATTCCGCTTTTATGAGTCGAGATGCAGGCTATCCGGCTCTTCACGTTGGAATGAGAATAGCTCGAAAACGGAGAGTAAGAGAAAGCCGGCCTGGTGGGCCGAATGTGCTTATATCTATAGATATGTTTTGAACGACGACGACACGCACGCGAGACTCGCAAACGTTATATTATAACACGACAAGTCAGAATACCGGCCTCAATATGACTTTTGTCATTTTTCCCAACTGGCGGTGACCGGCGCAACGTACACAATCATTGAATTTTCTCATCGATTTCTCCGAATATTTGTCACTCGTGTATTTTGAAGAAAAAAATGATGGTAAACAGAGGGTCAGGATTCAAAGATTTTTTTATCCTTTGTGATGGATTCGTGCAAAGATGTCGAATGAGACATTGATTACGATAAATTTTCGTAAAGAGTGTTTTATGATTGCGTATGGATATTTACAATTAAAAACAGATTGACGAAATGTGACTAGACAAATATTCAGAATTCTTAATTTTTAATTGCAAACTCGAAGTCGTGCAATGAAACTTTACAATCACGAGAACAAGTAAGTATCGAGAATGAATAATAAAATGCATAAATAAGCAGTTTTTATAATAATTAAAAACAATTTGACCTAGTTGATGTTCGAGTCAATGAATAATTTTCAAAAACTAATTTTGCTCGAGTCATAAAAGATCTAATGCAATTCGAAAAATACACTATCTGTAAATAATCATCAATTTTGATCTTCAAATCAAAGCGAGAAAATTCGATTAATGTTTTTACAATAAAAATCTTAAAAAATAACAATTATTGCAATATGTGTATATTGAGCGTATTGGCCTATATATCGTGTGCTTTTACCTTTCGTAGTTGATTATTATTATTGTGCCCAGTGCGCAGCGCTACTGCGCATCGAGCAGCAGGCAAATTTTTCGCAATGACGTATGCCCGTCGAGCATTTAGCAGGCTGCTGATTCTATGAAATGTAAAAAAAGAGTCGATTACAATTACAGTTCTAATTGACTCGAAACTAACTCTTTATTTCAGCTTTAATCGATTCCTACAATTAAATGGGTTTCATAAACGTTTAATGTAGATAATTTTTTCGATAAGTAAATGCGTGACTTACATTGCTACACTGTTCTTGCAGCTGTGTAATTTGGTATTGAATCTTTAATCTATATATTGTAGATTACATTATCTTAGGAGACATACCTAAAGACAACCTAGTACGGAACGATCGCTCCGATATTTGCTAGTTCAGCATCATCTTATCTTGTCATTATGATATGATTTTTTTAAGTAGTCAGATCGTATGAACTTTCTACTGATAAAAATATTACCATGAATCGTGTGCAGTACATCGGATGTCGACTCTCGTGAGCATTACTTCTATTGTCTCCTGACAATTCAGATCGTCTGTGATGTGAAAATTAGTGGTGATAGACCTGGTTTCTTGATTAATTGACTTTCATGAAATCATAAGGTTCAACTTCATTGTCAATTGATTTGGTTAATGTTATTTTATCAATCTGCCCAAAGTTAATATATGTTAGTAGCAGTTGTGGTACTTTGATCAGTGATATTTATTATTAGTCAAAAACGTGCAAGTGCCATTTTTTTATTCATTATTGAATTGTTCTGTTTAAAAGTTTGTAATAGTTTATTCGGTAAGAAGTTATTTGATGAAGTACAAGTCTATCGTCTCAAAATGGGTGATCAATCAGAATCTTATGACTCTAGTAAGTTGTTGGGACTGTCTATAGCTTATTACAATGTAAAATAGAATATTGATAATTGTAAATAATTCCAGGAATTACTAATGCTATGAACACTAACATCGATGTTCACGAACACAAATTAGAACCATCTAGTCCAGTCGATAGACATACATTTTCTCGTTGTAGCAGTACTGGATCTGTTAATACTCTGTCTTCTGCACACAATACAGGTAATAAATTTTAAATAGAATAATAATAATTCCATAATTATGAAAAGATCTCTTAATTCAATAAAGTTGCACATATAAAATTTATCACTAATAACAATCTTTATTTTAATAATAGAAGATGAAGAAGACAGCGATAATAAAAATTCAACAGTTAGTTATAAAGAGAGACGTAGAGAAGCTCATACTCAAGCTGAACAAAAGAGAAGAGATGCTATCAAAAGAGGATATGATACTCTCCAAGACTTAGTTCCAGCGTGCCATCAATCTGATGCTTCAGGTTACAAATTATCAAAGGCAACTATTTTACAAAAATCTATAGATTATATTAACTACTTAATGGCACAAAAGAAGAAAGAAGAAGAAGAGCAAAATGAACTCCGCAAAGAAGTTCTAGCTCTAAGTATCATGAAAGCTAACTATGAAAAGATTGCTAATGATACTAACAACCAGCCAGGGCCGTCAGATAACTGTGTTTCTGATGAAATAAAATTCCAAGTGGTGAGTTTGAAATTTTTGTTAATAATTATTATAAGTTATAATTTATATAATCCAATATTAACCTTTTTTCTTCACAACAGTTCCAAGCCATAATGGATCACTTGTTTAGAAGCTTTGAAAAAGTACCAACATTTGAGTTTGAGGAACTGACCAATTGGATATTCCGATGGCTAGAGGAACATTGCAAACCATCGGTAAATAATACTTGGCAACTATTTCATCATTTCCACATCAAATAATGTTTACATTGAACAATATCTATATTAACATCAATATTTTATTATTATTCATTACAGACTCTTCAACAAGTGGTAGTTTCAGTATTACAACCAATACATCCAACCTACGACCACTCCAGCTAGTATAAATGTGTTAACTTTGAAGATCTGATGAAAATTTATACAAGTTTGAGAATAATTTCGTTTTAGATATAGGAGCAGTTTATACTAGTACAAAGTGTAAAAAATAAGTGTTATTGTTTTTTAATCAACTAATAAATCTTTATCTATTTTACTCATATGACCAAACATGCAGTGAGTGAAAACAAAGATCAAATTAACTCCATTGTAACAGCTAAGGGCTTTGAAACCTATTAAATTATTTGATTATTTGCAGTATAGAGTGTGTCACAGTCTAAAAATATATTGTGGAGCTTTTCAAAGAAACTTTTCTATGATATAGTGTTTTAAGATATTAACTTAATTTGAAGATATTTATTTTCCAAACAACAGATGCGTAATATTGTATCTATTTGAAAATGTAGATAGATGTAAAACATTGAGATTTTATGAAATTTGTAAAGTACTTTAAAAAATGTTGATGAAAATTATTAATCATTGTTATATGATCATCTATATTTTTCTATGTCTACGTGAATAGTTACCCTTAATAATTCATGTTTTTTTTTTTTTTTCAAAACAAATCACAAGATGCCATGTTTGTTTAGAGGCACTTGAGAATTAACCATACAACTTTTCGTTGTAAAAATACTTTAAAAAAAGTTTTTAAATAAAAAATAAAGTTTCAATTATACTGAATGACTTTATTATTTTTAAAAAATTATAAATTTAAGTTATACAATTTGTAAAGTTACATTTTAAATTAAATGCAAAAAATAATAATTAATTAATTTTTTTAATAAGAGTTAAACATTCTCGGATTCTGTAGGCATGCTCTCCATTTGTTGCGTTAATTCACAAAATGTTATCCCGTCAATTTTGCTGTGACTATGGTAACTGGTACGAGCACCTATGAACAAAAAAATTAAACAAACAGCATTGCTAAAAAAGAAATTTAGTGATCATTTTGGCAAACAATCGGAAATATATAGAAGAAATTTGCATTTTATTAAATTTGTTAATTGTAGATAACTATACCTTTGATTTTATTTTTATATTTTACTTTTGCAACGCCACGAGAATTATTAGATTGACAATAATGAACGTTGCAACACAGATCACTAAATATGCAAATGTATAATATAAGCAAAATTGTCATCATAAATATGCCACTGAATGCTAAAATAACTACGAGGAACATCGATGAATCTTCGGTATCCATGAATCGAACGAAAATTATCACCAAAACTAATATAGTCTATCGCTAAAATCATTGTAAGATATATATTATTTCAAGATGATAATTTCAACTATTAATTACAAAAATATAAACATTAAACATACGAAAATTTCACTTTTTACAGTATAATTAATGAAAAATAACGAAGACTTTTTAGCTCAATTAATTATATAAGGTACTGTTTTCGCAAACATAGACCTTTGTCAATCGACTGTAGATTTTCAACTAAAATATGTTTTCGTTTTGCAGATATTATGCCTGTGAAGACGTGCCGTAATAGAATTAATAGATAAAACCATAATTTCATCTATGTATAACTTCTGCAAATCCATGCGATTAAGTGGGAGCGTGCGTTTAGCGGCGCAGCCTAGCTTTCGAAAGGGATCAAACGGATTCAACAAGATTCTCTGAAGGGCTTAATAGTCATTGACTTTGGTATGGAATAATGGAATTTAGAAAAGAAATAACACGTGTTTTTTTCAGGAAACACATTTAGATTCTTTGTCGAAATTAATTATTCTCGGCAAACTTTAATTTAATTTTTATAAGGTGTTATAATTTTATCTCTCTGTCGCTGCGAGGCATAATATACGATAAATTATCTTGGCGGCGACACTTTAGGCAAACCGTAGAAAATATATGTCCAAAAAATTATCATAATGATGCGCCCGATCACCGCACGGATATACACAGAGAGTCGAGCAAAATACCTCGCGATGGACATTCATTTATTACTTCTGGGAGTTTTGCAAAGTTTTGGGCTCGCAGTCAGCATGGCGTATTATAGCACTGGTCTATGAGACAGCGATGAGGATGATTTTTACCCATATAATACTTCCAAATTCAATTATTTGCTAGTACTGCATGGGCCTACACTAATATGTTAAATATCAACCACGCTTTAATGTGACGCAACTTTTTCAGGGTTAATTCTTCGCGGAAACGACAGCAGTCATATAACGAGAGCTGGAAAATAATAAAATTCAAAAAAGAGCCAAAATGAGTTATTCCACCAATTGGCTTCGAGTGGAATGCGCTGCACAGATCATAAATAGGCACTTATTGGTCAGCCTGCAGATAATTCATTTAGAGCCTAGTTTGTAGAGCATTATATTAATGTCATCGGGCTTTCAAATTACGTAGCCGTTTAGTCACGCGTTAAAACGAAATATTTTTTATTATTAGTTATGAGAAAGGTATCATAATTCAAGCGATCGTTACGATTCTCAACGTATTACAAGCCGAACTACACACGCGCGCGAAAAGATCAACGAGAAATTTTTTTAAATTTCCGACACAAGCCGCGCATACACAGGATACTTCGTCTTCTCTTCGCACAAAAATCACTCGCAAATTTATGCAAAGTATTCATCCCGCTGGCGAATAATATTTCGCGTGTGTATAATTTTAATTGTTTCTCTCTCGACTCGCGCGAGCGAGGAAAGTATATTTTATCAAAAATGTGCGCCAGGTACGCAGCAAAAAACATTCCTCTCTCGCTGCGCGCATAATTTGAGAACGCATGTGCAGCTCGGCACAATGCAACGTCGCGTTAAAAACGTGCGCGAAAATAATAACGAGGATCGGGCCTAAAAGCCACGTCAGGATTTTATGAGCGAAAAGATGAGAGAAATCGTCAAAACCGCAATTCGGCTTGGCTTACATACAGGCCGACAACAAGCTCGCTGGCTTGCGCCGCGAGATCTCTTTCCTCGTTATTATTATCATTATTTTTCTGCTTCCTTCGTCGTTGACTAGCTTACATGCTTGCTTATATACATTTTAGGAGTAAACATTTTGTACTTCTTCAAAATGCGCGATATTATTCGCACGCGTGTCAACTGATGAGGCCCGACCCAAACACGCCTATTAATCAGTCCGGTCGACATAAAGTCAGATTATTTTTGCCAATTTGTTTTTTCTTGCTCTCGCTCATTAAGCTTAATGAATATCCGTTTAATGAATCATTAGTCAAATTAGATTCGAGGCTCAGGTATCTAGAAAACGAATCGGTTCTGCCGCAACTGATCGATCCCTATCGCTACAAGACTGATGGAAATTAATTGCAGGCATCATGTCAACTGCCAAAAACTTTGTCATTACCTGGTGGTCTTCGCACGCGTCTTCGGAAACATGAAACGGAGTTACAATCAAATTGCCTTTATTAAAAAAAAAAAAGTGAAATAAAATAAATAAACGACCCACTCCTCTTTTTCGTATTCTCGCAATTTATGCTCGTATGATGTTCTGACGCACACGGTGTTTATTTATTGCTTGTCATACGGAGCCCATCGGATCTCTCTCTTTCTCTAAAAACAAATTGCAATCATTAATATGATAAATATCACTTTCATAACGAGAGACTTCAATAAACGAGCTTTTACTATTTTGTTGGGTTGCGTTGAATGAAGAGTAATGCGCATAATTTCCAAAATGTAATTCATTTAATTTTTTACTATGATATACTATAATATTTACAAAATTGATAAATTCTTTTGTTCTACATACAAATAATACTATCCATTAAAATGAAACCAATAGATACATTATTCATAAACAATCGTCGAGGCGCAATCGTCGACGATTCTTTTTTAACGATGCCGTTGTCGTTCGCAATACAGTCGAGTTTTTTCAACAAAGTTCACACACATACACTGCGAATATTGAAACTAATGGAGAATCGGTAACGATAAATTAACAGAAATGTTTTTTCTTTCTTTTTCTTCGTTTCAATTGAAGTTTTTTTGACAAATTTCGTTGATTCATTCAAGTTCAGCATTTACAATTTGTGGTAAATGAGAATAATCTTACACTCGATATAAGCTCTAAAAGAAATGTTTATTTGTTTATTTATTTATTTATTTTATTATTGATTTTTGTTTTAATATAAAAACTGCCTCGCGCCGTTTTTTTTGTTCGTTCCTTAACGCGAGAACAATAAACTATACATTAAAGATTGATTTTTCAATTTCTTGACAGACTACATTTGTGGCACCGCGATCTCGTAATAAAAGACGCGGCAATTATAATATTTACAAAATTATTTACCGAACAGCCGCGGTGGCTAGTGCGCGCGCGCGGGTATTCCGATGATTATCAGTTTGATATTTTTTTCTTGCTTTAATACATATTCACGTAAACTGATAACTTTTTTTTATTATTGTCCAAGCACGGAATACTATAATGAAATAATAAAAAATGAGTTTCCTATGCGAGGAAAGGGGGAGATGGGGGAGGTTGGGGTTAAGGAAAAATCTGAGGGGTTAAAAACTAGAATAAAAATTGTTAGGCTCGTCGAGATTGTTTTTGTACAATAAACACGAGATACATACACATACACACAGCACACATACACACGCACAGACGAGACATGTCGAACACCGTCATCGTGGAATGTTCGTGGCGTCCAAACATCATTTTCATCTTTATAATTTAATATATTATACAGCGGTCGGTGTGCGTTTTACGTAGAATCGCGCGCGGCGTTTATGGCCCCGCAGGCGTGACTTAATGGACGATCGATTTCCGAAGAGAGCTCCGCACAAGGATCGATGCCGGGGCTCATCGTCAGTTATAGTACATGGATCTCGGCAAGACGTAGCGCGAGACGCTGTAGAGCATCGAGGCGTACCAGTGCACACCCTCTTGCCTGGACCAATGGCGTCCGTCGTCCACTTCGTTGCTTTTCAGCTCGTCGTCGTCGTCCTTCCTTCGGCTCGGAACGAGTCCCAGGTAGTGCTCGAGGCTCGCGAAGCCGCGGCTCAGCCGGGCCCAGAGCCGCAGCGGCAGGAAGCAGGCGTGCGCCAGGCTCTGGTTGTCGACCACGGCGTAGCAGCTGGCCACGACGTCGTCCACGAGGAGCGTGCCCTCGGCCGTGAGGGGTGCGTAGGCGCCCTCCTCGAGGACCAGCTCGACGTCGAGCACCTCTTCCCAGCGGAGTGCTTGACTGGCGCCATTACTGCTGCTGCTGCTGCTGTTTTGACTCCGCACCAGCAGTCGATCGCCCGGACTGACTCGGGCGGCGAAGACGGTGCCGCGGCCCTGCACCGGCACCAGATGCGTCGCGGTCAGCTTGAGCTGCTTGCCCGAGCCGAGGCGCAGCCGCAGGAACTGCCGACGCTCGGCCGTCGCGCGGTCGATGAAGCCGATGACCTCGCTGAAGACTAGTCGGTTGGTGGCCGAGTCGAGGGCGGCCACTCGCTCACCCAGCTGGAGCTCGGCCAGGGCTACGCGTCTGCCGTCGGCCGTGAGCGCCGTGCTCGTGCCGGGGAAGCAGCCGCCGGACTTGCCCGCGGACGATGACTCTGTCGATGGAAAATGGGAAGATAAAGATTAGCATACACGGTTTTGTACAATTACAAGTGAAAATTATCAACGCGAAATTGGACTTACCCGACTTGACGGAGCAGTGTATGTGTGAGCGCGACTCGTAGTAGACCCAGTCGAAGCCCGCCTCGACGGCCAGACGCGCCAGCATGCCGTACTTGGCGCGGTCGCGATCGCTCGTGGTGACGTCGACGGCGCGGCCCTCGTAGTGCAGCGAGTCGGTGGCGTGTTTGCCCTCCTCGTCCCAGCCCTCGGTGACGCGCAGCTTCACGCCCGGCCACTGGTTCATCACCGAGATCGCCAGCGTGTTCAGCTTCTCTTTGCACCTCTGTAACGTGACAACAGCAACAAAAAAAACGTACATTATTAACGATGTGTTTACTTGTTTGTATACTTTTTTTCAAGAAGATAAATGCGGTTTTCGACGACAAAAAATAGTGTCGAGCGTGAAAAATTTGATAATAGGAAGACAGGAAGGAGCGTTGAGAAATTGTGCGTTGTATGCGTGTATCCATAAGCTCGAGTCATATAATCGGTGCATTTCCAGGAACGATAAAAAATCGATATTAAATAATAGCTCGTTCCGTCCTATAAATATACCTATACATAGATACACTCAGGTGCGCTCCTCATTGTATTTTTATAAAAAACGGCGCGAGAATATACCCAGAGCCAATACAACAATAAGATTATTTTTTCCTCTCTCTCTCTCTCTCTTTCTCTCACTCCGAACCGACGCGCACTGCGCAAGAGTTTCGCAATTATATTGGACCTCTTCTTCTTTTGCGTCTACTTCTCCTTGTGTGCCGAGGCTTGCATGGCGCTTTAAAAGAGCCGTAACGAAAGGCGAAGGCGGGAAGCGACCCGTAAAAGAGCGTAAAAATCAAAAGAAGAGGAAAAAAGGCGGCGGCGGTGGCGGTGTGCACAAAAAAAGAGCCTATATTGCTATGCCGCGGATAATGTTGGAAATCGAACAGCAACAACAACAACAAGGACGACGATGCGGCCATCGAAGTGTGCAAGGCACGCAGATGGCTTACGCAGTCAAGAGTTGCTGCTGCTGGTCCAAAGGATAAAACTTTTAGGGATCCGTTTTGATCTCCCGAAAGAGACGCGCACATGCACGTGTAAGGATCATACGACAAGTACAAATACGCAATAGTTGCACGTAGCAATTGGAAGGCACGCGCGCGTGAATCTCGAGCCCCCGCGAGCAACGAGACGTTCAACGTTGCGAAGCGACGAAATCCCCGAGTGTCTAATTGTAGGCATCAATGGCTTTCAATGGCGATCGTATGAATCGCGCGGTGGCTTCGATCGATCTGTGTGTATACATTTGCAATTGCGATCGCGTATTGTATTGCACGAGGATTTATTTTCTTCGCTCCTCTTTGCTGCTGCGATCGTATGTCCCGCTTCGACAAAGGTATCGAAGAAAGCGTCGAAGACTGTGTGTGTGTGTGTGTGTGTACCGCAGCTTTGCATTATATTCGTCATAATATAATAAACTCGCGCTGCGGAGCTGCTCATGCATCGATCGATCCTGGCGATTGGACAAAGGTGATGATCCGGCGCAGCGTGACCGAGCGTAATGTACGAGCTCGAGTCAAATATGTGCAGACGTATAGGATACGGATTTTCACTTTGTAGTGGCGCGCGTCACACGCGCACACATGACGAGCTATTATTAATACCTTTTGAAGGCAACAGCAGCAGCAGCTTTGAATAAGATCGGTACAGATTACATCCGTTATATATAGGTACGCGATCGATCCCAGAGGAATGTCCCCGAAATCATCCCCTGACATGTGTGTAATTCCCAACTTGAGCCATATCATGAACGTTTAGTCGATACACGTATCATGCATTACAGCGTTTGCCTGTAATTACACTTTATTATAATTCTCGAGCACCACCAAGTTCCGCGTAGATATGAGAGTAACGCGAATTCGACATCGTTGCAGCGAATGAAAACTCGCGGCCGGGCCACTCTTTAAAGGTTCCTGCAGTTTCGCACCTTTCGAGCAGATCGAGTAGGTATATAATATAACATCGCGAGTACTCGAATTTAGCCTGGGCGAGCGATAGCGTCGAAACGAGGAGGAGGAGGAGGTCACGCTTCGAACGAGTCGATCATTTTGGCGGCCAAGACGAGCCAAGCTTTACGATCGGTATACAAGAGTAATTACAACAACAACAGCTCAGAACTGCCTCGTGCACCGCTGCGCTTAACACAGCTCGACGTGAACGCGTACACACGCGAGACAATGATTATAAGCCTTTTTTCCCCGACACGCGTCCCCCGCGCGACTCTCGTGCTGCACAGAGTTTGTATTTCAAGCAATAAAGGATAATGATCGGTTGAGGGCCAGCCGAACCGACGTGGTGCGCTCGACTATATAAACATTGTACTCGTGGTGTGACATGGACCTTCTTTCGGCGCAATTATCGCAGTTTATAAAAGCGCAGAACATCGACTTTTCTCGAGCCCCGGCTGAAAGTACAGATTTTTCGGGCGCGCGCTCAAAATAAAAAGTGCAATCCGTCGTCGGACGCTCGTGTGTACGCATCGAGTGACGTACTACCGCAGCTAGGCTTAACAAAAGCCGATTTCACATTGGGACAACGGACACGAGCACGAGCTGTGTATACGCGCGCAGCCGAAAAAAGCTGCAGTGCGCGCACACGACGGAATGCACAGTTATGCCCCTTTCGTGCTCTCTCTCTCTCTCTCTTTCGGCTCTCGGCTCTTGGCTCTTGCATGATGCGTTCGTATATAATGCGGAGGCGCGCGCTCGAGCTCGAGCAGTCGCTAAATAACGCGCGTATAATTTGTTAATACGAACGTGTGTATGGCGAAAAAGAAAGAGAGAGAGAGAGAGAGAGAGAGAAGGAAGAAAAAAAAAGTAACGGGTCACATCGAAATTGTCTGCGATTCGGTTCCCACGATTTTCCCCTCTCTCGCAGCGGCTCTCTTACTCTCTCGGTCTCGGGGCGAGAGCGGTCGCCATACCTCGCGAATCGCGCCGCAACCAAAGAGAGAAAGAGAGAGAGAGAGAAGATAAGTTAAGAGAATGGCGAACAGAGAGAGAGAAGCAGTGCGGAGGATGAGTGTAAGATAGCCTCGTGCAAGAATGAGAGAAAGAAAGAGAGAGAGAGAAAAAGAGGTATTGGTCGGTTGTTGGTCGGTGGTGCAGCAGCAGCAACAGCTTATACAGCAGTGGCGGCATGCCGCATCCACATCGTCGACAAAGCTCCGCGCATATGAGGCGCATAACAGACGCATGGCTGTAGTTCGTTATATACAATCGAGAAATCTAAAACTGGCCAATTTCTCGACTAATTTTCATTAATAATTTTATTAATAATCGCGTATACTTTTATTAATAAAATTATTTAATGAAATATATCGAACGATAAAATTGAAGCGGATGAAAAATGGAACTGGAAGATGTACGACCCATCAGATTGCTCCGCGACCGCTAGGCTTTCATTTTGAGACGCCAGATACAGCCGATCATCAGATTTTACGCATTTGTCTATCATTTAGCTATCGTCACTTTTTCCAAAATTTCAAACAGTCATCGCGGATCGTTGTTTTGCGCGTGTAATTCCTTAAATATATTCATTTGGCTGGCGCCAGCTTCGTCCCTCGAGACTGCGCGATCAAGATGGGAAAACGAGAGACGGAGATCATGGAAGGAGTCGAAAGGTGTACGTACGCGCGACCGGTATCATTCGAGTCGTGTGCCGCAAAGCTCTTATATAAAACCTACATTATACGTTCTAACGCCACATAGCTGTCAAGAACGTCGAAGTATCATCCTCCGCGATATAACTGGACCAGCTGTGTGTAGTGTACAGATCCTTCGAGTGACTTTGCTCAAAAACAAAACTAATAAATAACTGAATAAATAAAAATCCACAGTCAGCGATCGAGGACGCACGCGGCCACTTACGAATAGGTACGTATACGTACAGCTGTGAAATGACGATCGGTATTGGGCTCGATATAGCTCGTATGCGCGCGGGGCCGCATTTTGTAATGAATATACCTATATTATACCTTACAGCACATTCGTATACAGCCGAGAGAGAGAGAGAGAAAAAGAGAGAGAGAGAGACTCGCGAAGATGATATGTATTACGGCGCTCGCCGGACGAGCAGTACAGGAAAAGTTTATCAAAAGTACCGCAGCTTGTAAACGATGATAAATCGTGACAAGTATAGGTAGGTGGTCGTGAGGTACTTTAATATACATATACACGCGCTATACACAGCAGAGAGAAGGCAGAGATTTAACGTCTCGAGCATATATATATATATACTGCACCATCTATGCTACATTACGTGAATGGAGCCCCTGAAGATCGCACGAATACATATCCACATAGGTGCAGTATACATAGGTGTATGCGAAGCGCAAAGTATATTATAAGTACGAGCGAGCATCCCGCAGTTATATAGCTGCTGCCTGAGCGGTACGTCCCCGTGCTAGTGGCCGCGTATCTTTTATGTAGCACGTATACGTATATATTTACCAATATTTTGGCAGAGAGCAGAGGCAAAGGACCCGCAAACCTGCGTATATATAGCCGCAACGTGTGACAAATGGACCCTACGCGGACGGACGCACTCGGTGGCCCAATATATATAAGCGCTGAAAGATCCGACGGGTCAATAGTCCTTATACAGTCGATCCATTCTCTTTGTTTACTTTGAATGACCGCATCGTCGCGCAAAGTCGATCGGCTTCGCGTGCACAGAGCTTGTGTATAACGTTGTACGTTTAAGCAGCATTACAAATACATACATCGCTTCTTTAATACAGCGTACGCGCGAGGGATGGGAGAAAGAAAGAGAGGCAATTTATACGAGAAAATATTTCTCGCGCTCGTGTGGTGACTGCTTCATACATGGAAAGAATATAATCTAATTTGCCCCGGCAGCGTGCGCGTAAAAGTGGCTAAAATGCGCAGTTTTCAACTCGCCACGGAGCGTATCAAAAGTCTCCCAAAAAAATTCGCTGATACATTGTTTTGATGTATTTTTTTCCTCTGCTTTCTAATGGAATGATTCGATTTTGAAAAAAAAACTGCTGTCTTCGTTGACTTCATTTTTTATTGTTTTTTGTTATTAGATGATTCTGCTCGTGTGAAATGAAAATGCCAAAAAAATCCTGCTGTTTACAAATCAGAGCACCTTGTGCAGGATATATTTGCTCCGAAATTACCTTATACCTCTGTCGACAATTTTTATAAGGTGTGTTTTTACAATGGCCATACCGAGTCAGACTATTTTATTTATTTATTAATTTGCACGTACGAT